TGATTTCTCAGTAAGTTATTCCACAGGCTTCAATGGTTTTAAAGGGGAATTATGTAAGATTTAATAACGAGCTGACTAACTCGCTACACTAGTTAAAAATCAGATAATGAAAAGGGAATATTATGTCAAAAATTTCAGTCAAATTACTTCACTATGAGCTGAGTTATCGCCGTTACAAGACCAGCTAGTGTAGCCTCGATTGTCATTGCTTCTGTTGTTACGAAAATAAACAAAGTTTTGATTATCCATTTTTAAATGAAATCATTAACCAAAAATTGTATTTAAATCTGCTGAAAATCTATAGTATCCGATGGCATCGTCAATTGATTATGGTCTTGGTACATGTAAGTTAATTAATCTCTAATTAATAATTTATATAACATTTAAGGCATACAGAAAGACCTGCAATAAGCAGATTAAGTTCTTATATAATGCCTGTTTAAATTTTAAAAATGCTACAGCATTGAATTGGTCAAAGAGTACATTTGGAATTAGTGTCGTAATCTCATACTCATATAGGTGATTTTAATATACAGACAAAATGCAATAGAGACCTCGACTATATCTTGATATATCAAACTGAGCTGGAACAGACATAGCTACGAGGACAACGCTAGTTTATTTTTTAACGATTGGAACAATTTACTTTCACCTTGCAAGATCACTTTGTTTATTAAATTAATGCATGTAATGTTTAAAAAATACCATATATATACCAGTACATGTAGCAACAATACTAGTGCAAAACTGTAAATATTATCATCAAGTCAAGCAATGTTTTTCACTATTGTCATAGACTCATCATCACATAAACATTGCTAAATCGCATATTTTGATTGGCTGTTGGAGTAGCTTCTTCCTATTTTGATCCGCATTGTCAGATGTCCACTTCAACTGATACAATGTATCAGGTCATTTGAATTAACTGAGTAATTGGTAAGAATCAATTGTTTTAAATAAAAATATGATAGTTTTTGCTCCGTTAAAGTTAAAGGAGCTAAATCAATAATTCATTGTCACCTAGAAATGGACACAAATGGGTCCCAACGCATGTAATTAATATGAATGTATATAAACTGATTTACATTCAATTGTTTGTTTTTACTGTAATTTCTAATCAGTTATGTCTGGTGAAATACGTGAAGAGTCCAAATTGAATGGCAGTCTTTTGCATCTGGTTATTCCAGTCTACACCGGTAGTATTCTACTTCATGTACATGGGATAGGTTTAGCCTCGTTCATCGAGTCGCTTCATACAAATTTTTAAATTTTCATTTTGTCTTAAATATTGGATATCAGAAGACCAACATAAACATAAACTAGGTCATTTCGGGACTAACATATGGTTAAATTTTATTTCAATAATTCGCTTGCGCGTAGGGGTCTTTAGCAGTTGGAGGAAAGTGGAGGACTCAGAGAAAACCCACGAGGTTGGACAGGTGACCTTAATCCTTGTCACTTTCAACCGGGGAATCAGGGGAATCAAAACCACGGCAGTTGACTTAATGACAGAACATTAAGATACAATACCAGATGCGAAGTCCTTGTCACTTGTCACTTTCAACCGGGGAATCAGGGGAATCAAAACCACGGCAGTTGACTTAATGACAGAACTCATGATACAACACCAGATGCGAAGTCGCTAACCATTCGCCCGCCCCCCCCCACCCATTGAGTTAAATAAATAGCCTACTTTTGCAAACTATGCAAGAGACAGGACATCACAGACACACACACAAGACAGTGAGTAACCTAAAAAAAAATAGTTAAGCACTGCTTACATGTTTTCAAATCTTCCAAATAAGACGAACACCAAATTTGTCAAAAATAAAAGCAGGGCTGACTTATATTTTGGATTAGACTATATAGTAGCAGTGATAGTATTCCAATAGAATCTTAAATTCATGAATTTGCAAACATGTCAAGCTCAACAGTCAACAGTCTGGCCTATATATAGATACATTTTTACATTGACAACCTTCTAAATAATAAGAAAATAAAGGCATAAATGAATAGTGACAAGATCAACCACTTGGAACACTAATTACATTTTTAAATATTAAAATTTGGTCCTTCTTGTTGAGCAGCCATATTTTGGCTGAATCAGAATGTGAGTATGGCATGCATGCTGATGCAGACAAAACAATCCGAAAGAGCACCTTGCCTCTCCTCGTGCATTGTACTATGGGATGCAAGATACTTACATGGTTCATAGAGTGAGCCTCTGAAACAATCTGGTTTCCACACGGGCATAATTTGATTATTTCCGTCTCATTACACTAATTACATGATAAACAAACTTCACACCATCGGTCACAACTTTCACAACATACTTTGTTTCCCCGTTAGAGGGCGCTTTATTGCGCAAACAGTACTGTGAAGTTCAAAATTGCGCAAATTCACATTGCACAGTGTGTCTTCGCCACAGATTAATAGATCGTGTACAGCTCTATAGATCTATGTCTTCACATTAAACTGATCGGTGTCGTCAAAAGGCAAAACAGAATAGTCTCGGCGCAAGATAATTACACAACACGTAGGCCTACCAAATAAAAAAATAACTATAAAAGTTAAAAGAAAAAAAAATCCCGACACGGTAATAGCCAAATAATAAGAATGTTAGGACAACACAAATTGTAATAGATCTAACTACCAATACTATGGGAAATATATAGTTGGCTAACAACAGTTAGGGCAAATATTCATACACAAATACTATTTGAAATAGTATTGAACAGAAGGTAATCGAGCTAGTTAAATAAACCAATGAAATGTTAAAAAAAAAAAAAAACTCTTAATTTGGCCCAACTCCTAGCTGATCTTTCAAAGGATAAGAATATTGATTGGAGTCTTTTTCCACTTTTTTTACTCAATTCAACTTAACCTCCGTGGACCCACTCCCACTACCAGTTAATTAAAGGAGCTAAATCGTAAAAATTTGGGACCTAGAAATTAACACAAATGGGTCACAACACATGTAATATGAATGCTGAATGTATATAAACTGATTTTCATTCAATCATTTCTGTTTTTACTCTAATTTCATATCAGTTATGTTTGACGAAATGCGTCAGAAATCTCTCTAGCATCTGGTTATTCCAGTCTACACTGACAGTATTTATTGTGCATGCTCTCCAGATAAGAATATGAGTCACTTTTTGACATGACACTGGCACTGAAACGCATTATGGTACATGATTCGTGTACCAATGGTAAAATGTTTACTTTGTCTTAAATATTGCATCGGAAGCCCATCTTTTCCCGGTAAGATCACAACATCACATCAATGTTGATTTAAATTGACAAATAATTGTCTGTGAAACAAGATATAACAGTGTGGTCTTTTTTAATAGAGATATTTTAGCATTTGTAAATGAAGCAGATACAGAAAGTATTAAAAAGGCTGGATGAATGTGTCAAATTTTGTGAATTTTACATCACATTTGATGAACCCTGGTGCATGTTAACTTGAATGAACCACAAATAATTTTTAAAGGTCATTTCAGACGCACATTGAGGCACTTAAATAAAGGCTAAGGGTTGTGGGGATTGGCAGGGGGAATGATGTGGGATTTCGTGCCTTTTCATTCAGAGAGAGAGAAATGGGGTTTAATGTCCACTTGACACAAACTAGGTCATTTCGGGACTAACATATGGTTTAATTTTATTTACATAATTCGCTTGCGCGTAGGGGTCTTTAGTAGTGGGAGGAAACCGGAGGACCCGGGGAAAACCCACGAGGTTGGACAGGCGACCCTACTCCTTGCCACGTACAACCGGGGATTCGAAACCACGCCAGTCGACTCAATGACAGACTTTATGATACAGCGCGCGCTCGCTAACCATTCAGCCATCCAACCCCCCCTTTTCATTCAGAAAACAACACTTGCCAATTTGACTGTCCAGTTGAGTAACGAAAGTGGCTCTTCCCTCCTCCCCCACAACACACATCAAAATTCAAGATCCACCTGCTCTGTATCAAGTGCTCTTGCTATGGTTTAATTGTCCTTTAGATTGTGTTCTTTATTTATTATTAGCAAGCAGCAAGTAATAATCATCATAATCATACTCCTCTGCAAACAAAAATTTGGTTACAGTACCCAATATTCAGCAATATTCTTTTATTCACCCGTTTGTATCTTGAATCTGCTATACTACATGTAGACAAACTACTGTGCAGTACATGCCTACATGTATGTTGTAATAACTCTCAGGTCAATATACCAGTACATGTGAAGAGTCCAAGGGAAGAACAATCTAAGTCACATTTTTGTCTTTTCGCATAAAAGACAAAACAGACTTTTGGGCGAGAATGCTCGATGCGAACAGAACAATGAATGGTTTTAATTACAACTTCAAAATGATGTTTAATACGAATCATAATTACCAGTACAACAACTGACTTCCACTTTTCAGCCAAATTATGGTCAAATAAAGGGCACGATGGACTTGTATTTGTCCAGGAGGCCATTTCATTAGGGCCTTGGTTCGATGTGACTCTGATTGTTTTTACCTGAAATTGATTGTTCCACAGAAAGCTTACACAATATGCTACCAGAGGGCGCCATTAACTGCGGTTCGTCGAAAAAGTGACTTAGATCGTTCTTCCCCGGGGCTTTTCATGTATTATTACCCATACTAATAATACATATTTAATGTTGACATCTTCACTGTACTTCATGCCAATGGTAGACCCAACCTTTCAGCAACAGTGGTTAAATAAGTGTTAACAGGAGCTAACTGGTTAAGGTTAGAAAAACTCTTGCCAAAACATAGCACTTTCCAGGCTGATAGACATCATTGTCGATGTAAAATAATCAACCTAGGTATAGTTTAATGTATCTAGACTGTGAGTAGATTCTAAGTTTGACCCAAAAGGAATATATGGTAATAACAATAGTATACCAAAGCCTTCTACCACAAAACGTTTGATCACCAAAATGCTTTGGTTAGGCCTAAAAAAAACACCTAAATTTTAACAGATTAATATACACATAAAATAATTTAATATGATTATTTAGTTTATTTTTTTCAAGAGAAAAATGTTTACAGATAGAAATAAAAGGCACATAATGTTTATATGAACTTATAAATGTATTATATAGATGATTACAATTTAATATACTAATAAGTAGAGTTATTTGTATACACATATCTTTCAAAAATATAGAAAATATAAACTGCATTAAAATACATTATATTATTTCCCTAATTATTTTATCTTGAATAAAATAACTGTGAAATTTATAACAATGAATCAAGAGTAAATAATCTAAGTAAATAGAAAGCACAAACTTCATTAAAGCACCATTATTTTCATATAAACTTACTAGAAAGATCCTTTGTTTTCTAAACAATATTGATGGCCTTTTGAGACATACAGAGAAATAAAACTGTCAGCTTTCCAGAACACATATATCAGGTAAATATTATTTGCTTGAAGATATCATGAATCTTCAATCCTGTCTCTGATTACAGGTTTATTAACAAACCAAATAAAACCCAATAACACGCCCAAATTCTTAACCAATTAAAGAAATATACCAGATATGATAGGTATGAACATTATTACATTATATACATAAATCATGACTATATAAACGTAAAAATGTTAATATTTACAAAAACTGGTACAAATACTAACAATAATAATTGATTTCTTAACTAATAAAATTTAATGGACGGGATGCACAGATCCCCTTAAATAATATATTTGCTAGCCAGATGAATATTAACTTTAGTGGGCTATATAATTAGCAAATTAAATCCTAAATGTGAACATCCCAAGCAATATTTTGACAATTGATTCACCAGGAACCCTTTATATTTTGAATATGCCAAATAATAAAAATTTACCATGCAGAATATAAGAAAATAAAACAATTTATATAATGTACTGTCCCCATCAAAAGCTGACAGTCAAAGGTCAAATCTACACTATATATAAATTCATTTGAAAAACAATAAACAAAACAAAGAGAAAAAGAACAATGCAGTCTAATCTAAACTTGGGTCCATGCCTCAACCCCATAAAGATCTACCTGGTTTGGGTTGGAGGTCAAGTCTGGTGTCACAAAGGTGAACTCTGAATTGAGTGGACTATTTCTAATTAACCATTATTCTGTCCTTTTCTCTTCTGCTCTATAGGCATCACCCAGAATTCCATTCACAGTTTGAATAAAGCTAGCCTAAACAGGTCATTAAATTGGTGAAACCGAGACATCAAATAGAACATGTTTAGTGTAGTGAAGACAAATAAATCGAATGATTATGCAGAATAGCACTATAAAATTATTAAGACAGTAAATTAATGTGTAATTATGACAATAAATAATACTGTACAGTTTGAATCACAATATACTTTTAAGATACTTAGGTCAGCCATGTAAGCCAGAAAAATAAGTGGTCATATCAAAGGCCTCTGAGTCAAAGATGACAAGATAAGCATATTATTATTTTACATAATTTAAATCCACTGGACAATATTAATGTATCTATATACTAGTCGATTGTACATACACTTCAGTTAACATTATTTTAGTGGACAGATATATACCATGAATTATATATTATATTAATTATTTTTATACTTATATAGTCATGGTATTCATTATGTCATACATGTAATTTTTTTTTAATAAGCTAAATTACATTAGATAAACAATCTTGATCAATCACTGTAAAATATTGGGAGCTCAAGTGACCTTTGTCCTTCTAGCTTTAAATTCATAAATATTATTGTTAAATCGGTCGGATAATAATAATAATTGATAATTAAAACTGATTGAGACATTAGATTATCAGATACAGTAAGAGTAAGACTCAAGAAATATTATAAAATAACAAATATTATTTACAAACTATACAATATATATTTTCTATTTAATATTAAATTAACACTTGTGGTTATTATCAAGCAAAAAATTTTTTCTTTGATTTGGTTAGGTCAATAAGCTTTAGATCCAATAACTTCATAATTGTCAAGCATTTATGGTATTCACACAAGATGTTAACTGTCATTCTTAACGACTCATGATCATGCAATCCATGATTTGATGCCGTAAGATGAGCACATATTATTAATATTTATAATCTTCACAATTATCCTCTGAACATGCACAATAACTTTATATTTTCTACTAAAATAACAGGAAGCCATATTGGCAATATTATACAAAAGTTGTGTTTGTTTATCTAAAATAAAGTACAAAAATTCAGAGTATATATTTAACAGATCTGGTATTCAACTGTTGAACTGGCAAAGAAAATTTATTTTTCCAGGTCTGACTTGGTGATTGATAGGGAAACTATCATACTTTACATATCCATTGTACTAAACATAGATTATGCAAGAGCTAAATCTGCCTAATTGCAGGTCTTTCTTTAGGCCTGAAATGTTTTCTCAATTATTAATTAGACGTAAATAACTGATCCAGGTCACAATAACTCTCAATGGCATCGGATTTCTCCGATATTAAATAGATTAGAACGGTTCATCTATATTTTAATTTAATTTAAAAATGGAGGAGCAGGGTTTGGCTTCGAACAACCAGTATGCTGGCAGAAATTATTGCACATGTCCTGTCAAACCGTTAAAGGCTAATATCTTCGCTCGCAATAGAGTAATTTTCATGAAATTTTCAAACTATTCATTTTATATTATCTATTTTCGAACTATTATAGCAAGAATTGCTAGCTCTTTATCTAAATCTTACATAATGTATCTTTAATTAAGATATTCACAAATGTGTCATATGAAAAAAACCAGACAAATCTTCTAAAATACAGAGGTTATCATCTGCATTAAATCTCAGAACAATTCTTACGAATTATCACGGTTCGACAGTATTTGCCTTTTAAAACAGGAGATTGCTGTGTGTCCCTGACATGTCCATTATTCTATACAAAATAGATCAATACCAACTTAATACAGTAAATATATCATTACAACATAAAAGATGATCAAGAACAAAAATGTAATATACAGATATCAAATCTTTTTATTAATAATACCTGGGGCTTTAATGATGGGTTCTCCCCACCTGAATTTAATACCAATACCATTTTATAGTACCAACTTCCAAATAACCAGAAGAAATAGTTGTGACAAACCCATAGCAACTGAGAAATTGACAAAACAGGGGACCTTATAAAGCTTCACTATTTCTTAATCTTGTTGCTTGCATATATAGAGTAACCGATTAACATTGATGCAATTTTCATGTGGAGTGTGGTTTTTCATTGTCTACATTTCTCAGAAACTACTTAACCTGACCGTAATGAAATTTGAAATGACCAAAGAAATCATCTGTATTTTGTCCCTTTAATATTTCTCGTATATATACAAATTATTAAACATTCATGTCCTGAGACTTTTAAACTATAACAGCTCAACTTTTGGAATGTTATAATGTTAAAAAGTTATCTATATAAATACATGTACATTTATGTGCATAGCTTATTTTGTGACAGTTTTAAAAGACATATCTAGTCATCTACTTTAGGATTGACCCTGTTCTCTTCGAGCAGCCAATATCAAAGGTTTGAGAGTTGTAAGAGGCATACATTTTTCTAAAAATGGATGCTTGAGCAGTTGTAAGGCAGAAGATCTTTTCTCTGGTTCAACTTCAAGACAATTACTGAGGAAACTCTTCAACTCAGGAGAGAGTTTGCCTTCATTCTTAACATCAGGTTTTCCTTTTGTTGCAATTTTGAAAATAGCCTTTAATGGAGTTTCATTTAGGTAAGGTGGTTCTCCTTCCAACATTTCTATAATCATAATTCCCAAACTCCAGATGTCTACTTTATTATCATACTGTTTCCTGAAACAAGATATATTTAAATAAATAAATGTTTTTAAAATATATACAAATGTGAGTTTAAAAGTCATTTAAACTAATATAGACATACTGAGGTAACTTCCTATTTGTACTCCAGTATTTTGTTGTTGAATTAACAATGTTATTATCAGCCAGATCTGTTCCATATTTTCATAGACGTATATTAATAATTGTACCCAAAGCCCTCAAGAATTCGCTAAATATGAGTGATCAGCTCAAATCAAAACTAACCCTAACTTAATAAGCAACAAATGGCTACTAATACACTAGAAATAGAGCGAGTCTGATCAACCCTACCCTGGGATCCACAAATGATTGACGTGTCGCAGGAGCTAAGTGAGAGGGACACGATGACGAACTTTGCGTCATGGTTTTGAGTTTTTGTGCCCCCCCCCCCCCGCAAATGGCAAAAAATCATGCGGTTTTAAACATTATAAATATAATCCTTAACCAGTGTCGAACATATACCGTGGGTCAGATATGCTACAAATCTACTCTAGCATGTTCCATATAGCCCAATATTACCCAGCAGCACTGGAAGGGATCCCTGCACACACATATAAAGATTGTTTTTGGGAGGGCATGGACGGGATCTTGTACCTCATGCAAAATCATATGTCACCACGCCCCTGTGTGTCGGTCCTATATTTATTCCAACAATGTGTCAAATGAGACTGTAGCAAATAAAACCAAATAGCTATTTCTTTATTGGTACAACTCGCAACAAATCTCTCTGTCATAGTAGAAATAATATGTGAATTGAAGAACACTTTGCACATATTAAACATAACAGATGGAAACTGGTCGAAATACACAGTAATCTCAAAGGAGTCACGAGTAGAAGTGTTACAACAAAAATAATTGAGCTTTTCAAGACTGATCCCAATCGTGACAAGAATGATATGTCACTTAGAAAGTATTTGAATCCAGATGTGACAGCTCATCCTGTCGTATATTTTTTCCAACAATTTGTGAATTAGGAAGTTTGTTACAGTGGAATTGATATGTTCCTCAAATTAGTGGTCTGACCATCTTTTCACACCATGATATGCAATATACACCGAGATTTGTACTGTGCTCTAGTCCCAAACTACTATATAAAGGGTAAAGTTGTATAATCTCACTGAAGCCCATAGAGTTTGCATAAGAAAGAAAAATCTGGGATGGCTACCTACTAATTTTATCTGTATTGTTTTCATGTACCTATAGTCGACAAACCATAAAGATGTTACAAAACAGATATACTAACCTTGAGACCACCTCAGGTGCCATCCAATATGGTGTTCCAACCATTGTATCACGTTTATTTCTCTCTGCATTTAACTGTGCGCAAAAACCAAAATCAGTTAGTTTTACGGCTCCAACCATACCTAACAAAACATTGTCACTTTTGATATCGCGGTGAATTATATTCTTATCATGTAAAAACACCAAGGCTTTAAGACACTCACGGCACACAGCAGCAATTTGTCCTTCCTTCATGATAGTCTCTGTTACAACATCTGTAAGGGCACCACCATCTAAGCATTCCATGACAACCCATAATTCCAGATCAATCATATAACAGTCTAGAAAATTAACTATATTATCGTGGCGATATGTCTTCATGACTTCTATTTCAGTTATTATTAATTCTTTCTTCGGTTGGTCAGTTAAATCCATCTGTTTGATGGCTACTACATCATCAGTTCCCTTATGACTTGCCATAACTACATTTCCTGAGGCTCTGTAACAAAAGAATGGAGTTTGTTTTCATTTCAGTGAAAATAATCAGTTGTAACTATCTACTCTAGCAATGATGATGTTTCATAGTTACTGGTTTTAAGATATACTGGTCAAAAAAAGTAGCGGATAGTCATGTAAAGGTAAACAAGCCAAAAGTGAGGCCGATATCTAATGCCAAATTGAAAAATATACGCCAAGTCTCCTCCATTAGAATCAAAGTTGTTGAGCTCCAAATTGCTCATCATAGTGATAGTGATATTCAAGGTATTGATGTACTGAAATTATAATCAGAGTTTGATTTAATGAAACCATACACCAAGTTTCACCACTTTCACTCAATTGAAATCGCTCACCATCGAACTTGGTCAAGATTCAGAATTTAGTCGAAGTATTGATGTAATGTAACACAGTACGTTTCATCACGATCATGTCCCAAAGCATCGATCAATCAAATAGCTTATCCCTGTTGGCCTAACAGAAAATGCTCATCATCCAACTCAATCATGCCATTCAAGGCAACATGTACACCATGTTTGAAAATTCTAGCTCAATAAGAAGCAGAGTTATTGTGAAGGAAGTAGCATCACTGGTCATTTGGGAGTTCTGATTCCCGTATATATATTTATCAACCATCTGTACAATGTATTGCAAATCCCAAGATAATCTTCTTCAGTCATGGGGCATATCATCATATTTCAAAGGTTTTATTTGTGTAGTCAACCAGTTTAAAAAATGTTTTAGAATATCATATTTTCCTTCCTTAAATGAATTTAGTACAAATCTGTCTTACCCTGATCCAAGTTTTTTCTTGATATCATATTTCTCATTAGGGTTGCCTGGAGAAGATAACTTTCCTTAAAAAAAAATTAAATAAAATAATCAAATCAGACAGTATTAGAATGAGCTGAAATAATGTTAAGTTTCCTAAATTTTAAAGATACATTATGGGAGATTAGATAAAGAGCTGGCAGTTCTCACTATAATAGTTAACCAGCGGCTGCCAGGCAGGATACGCCCACATTTTCAAGAGATGGATAGAGAACAAGCTAAAAGGAAAGTGATTTTTCCTACAATCAAGGGCCATAATTCAGGAATTTACTTTTTGATATGCGCAAATATCGAAAGGAACCGAGATCTTTGGGTTATAAACTTACATTTCAAGTTTCAACAAAATCGGATAAAAATTGTGACCTCTATAGGGTCCACAACCTTGATATACCATATTTTTATGCTATTTGAGTACAATTGGCGGCCATTTTGTCAGTCAGTTTAGGTCCGATTTTCACGAAATATGAAATCAGCCATCCTTAGGGTGTAACGGTGATATACTAAAACGTTTTTTTAATTGGATAAAAATTATGACCTCTATAGGGTCCAAAAGCTAAAATCGAGATTTTTCGTACAATCAGGGGCCATAATTCAGGAAGTTACATTCCGAAATGCGCGAATATCGAAAGGAACCGAGATCTTTGGGTTATAAACTTACATTTCAAGTTTCATCAAAATAGGATTAAAATTGTGACCTCTATAGGGTCAACAACCTTGATATACCATATTTTTAGGCTATTTGAGGAAGGGCGGCCATTTTGTCTGTCAGTTTTGGGCCGAGTTTCACGAAATTCGAACTCAGCCATCCTTAGGGTGTAACAGTGATATAATAATACGTTTTTTTAAATCGGATAAAAATTATGACCTCTATAGGGTCCACAAGCTAAAAACATGATTTTTCGTACAATCAGGGGCTATAATTCAGGAAGTTAAGGTTCAATATGCGCGAATATCGAAAGGAACCGAGATCTTTGGGTTATAAACTTACATTTCAAGTTTCAACAAAATTGGATAAAAATTGTGACCTCTATAGGGTCCACAACCTTGATATACCATATTTTGACGCTATTTGAGAACGAAGGGCGGCCATTTTGTCTGTCAGTTTTGGGCGGAGTTTCACGAAATTAGAACTCAGCCGTCCTTAGGGTGTAACGGTGATATAATACTACGTTTTTTTTTAATCGGATAAAAATTATAATCTCTACAGGGTCCACAAGCTAAAAACGCGATTTTTCATACAATCAGGAGCCATAATTCAGGAAGTTACGTTCCGATATGCGAGAATATCGAAAGGAATCTAGATCTTTGGGTTATAAACTTACATTTCATTCAAGTTTCAACAAAATCGGATAAAAATTGTGACCTCTATAGGGTCCACAACCTTGATATACCATATTTTTACGCTATTTGAGAATGAACGGCGGCCATTTTGTCTGTCAGTTTTGGGCCGATTTTCACGAAATTCGAATTCAGCCGTCCTTAGGGTTTAAAGGTGATATAATAATATGTTTTTTTAAATCGGATAAAAATTATGACATCTATAGGGTCCACAAGCTAAAAACACAATTTTTCGTACAATCAGGGGCCATAATTCAGGAAGTTACAGTCCGATATGCGCGAATATCGAAAGGAACCGAGATCTTTGGGTTATAAGCATACATTTCAAGTTTAAACCAAATCGGATAAAAATTGTGACCTCTACAGTGTTCACAAGCTAAAAGCGTGATTTTTCGTACAATCAGGGCCCATAATCCATGAAGTTACAGTCCGATACATGCCAATATCGAAAAGAACCGAGATCTTAGGGGCGATAAACCTATATTTCAAGTTTCATTGAAATCAGATAAAAATTGTGACCTGTAGACTGTTCACAAACAATTGTGGATGGACGGACGGGGACGACGACAATATACGTCCACATGAAAATGTAGGCGTATAAAAACAAGATAATGTAAAGGGAATTTGCTAAAATTGATCCACTCTGAACTGAGATTTTAGTGATTGAATTTTCGGCCTAGCCTCATCATCATTACTAAAGTCGGTACGATAAAAAAACAGTCTCGATCATCCATTTCATGATTAAATCATGATTAAATTGGAACCTAATCCAATAAACATCACAGGCTATCGATGACATTGAGAGTTGATTATGATCTGGATAAGTTAATTAATATCTAATTAATAATTTAGATAACATTTCAGGCCTAAAGAAAGACTTGCAATAGGCAGATTTAGCTCTTGCATAATGTATGTTTATGTCTCAATCAAAATCAATTTTCTCTTTATCTTTCAGGAACTAATAATAAACCTTACTTAATTCTCTGTGTATTTCGTCATCTGTTAAGGCCTTTTTAGCTGCTTGTTTTGGTCGACGGACTATTTCTTCTCTATCCTCCTCATGTTTTCCATCAAGATTGTCTGCTTTGGTATGATTATCCTTTGTGTGGTTATTTTCTTCAGCCTTCTTTTCTTCCAAAGACTGAAAAATATGAATACGTACATCATCCTAATGCTACCGGTTTACAATTTAACTGATTGGAATGCAGGGATAACCAGTCTTAATCAGGAATTCATTACACAGTTAGGATATAGCAAACTCCCAGGTCTATACATTGTAGCTCAAAAATCACTGTGCAGCCCTCCTGCATCACTTTCTGATAATCTTAATCATTGTTTAGTTCAGAAAATTTTGAGATGGTAACTCGAGTATCAAATATAAAGAAAGGTTGCCAGGCAGCGTTATTATATGCCTGTAATAGTTATTCCAGACATCCTAGATTCAAGGAAGAAACCTAATATTAAGTACACGTACATGTAACAGTAAATCAAATACATAATACATATCTACATAAATATACACAGTACACAAATATAATTATGAATGTTCAGGCATTTTCATCATTAGGAATTTTTTTTAACCCAGATGGCAGGTCCTATTAATCAGTCTTGGCGTAGTATTCTGCAGACGAATTCCAACACTGAAATTTCGGTATTGACAGTCTGAATTAGAATTATTTTACGAAACCTTAGTCAGTAATTAAACTTAAAAGTGTCAAGGAATAAATAATAAACACCTAAACAGTATTTAAAATGATATGACAACGGTTATGGAATGCAAGTTTCCATGGCATCCGAACATAATGGGGAACCGCAAGTCATATTCAAGTAACCTAATTCAGCTAATGGTACGACAGTGAATAATATTGTGCTATGTATGGAAAAGCCCACAGAACATTTCCTGGTTTATATAATAATTTAAAACATTCAAAGCAATGCTAAACATAAGTTTATGTATAATATCCTGAAACATTCGACAACACCAAATAATTATTTTAGACAAAAGAAGGAAAAGATTTTCCAACTGATCGCACCCTATTTTCTTTGATGAAGCAACCGTACATACATGTATTATTTATTATGGCCTAAGTGATATGTGAGTCTTTTTATTCTTCTTTACAAAATTTCCTGAAACAAATATAACATACTTTTCCAGTTTGTTCAGGTGCTGGTTCTTCATTTAATTCTACAGGTTTCTCACCATCTTCTTCTGTTTTATTTTCAAATGCTTCTATTTGACTGTCACTACCTCTACTTGATGCATCAGAATCTAAAAGTTCATCAGATTCACGAATCTCCTTTGCAATTAATAAAAATTTCTGTCCTGTGGAGGATTTTCTTTTAACAGAATGCTGGAAGGTTTTTAAGGAATTTATCACAGCTTGAGGGTTTTGTCTTTGATCTTCTTGCCTGCAAAATTAAAATGAATAATGTATGAACTTTAGAAACAACCAGTGGCTGCCAGGCAGGATACGCCCATATTTTGCAAGAGGTGGATAGAGAACAAGCTTAACAAAAAGTGATTTTTCGTACAATCAGGGGCCATATTTCAGGAAGTTACGATCCAATATGCGTAAATATCGAAAGGAACCAAGATCTTTCAGTTATAAACTTACCTTTCAAGTTTCATCAAAATCAGAAGAAAATTGTGACCTCTAGAGGGTCAACAACCTTGATATATACCATATTTTTACGCTATTTGAGAACGAGGGACGGCCATTTTGTCTGTCAGTTTTGGGTCAATTTTTACCAAATTTGAACTAAACCATCCTTAGGGTGTAACAGTGATATACTATTTCGTTTTTTTAAAATTGGATAAAAATTATGACCTCTATAGAGTCCACAAGCTAAAAACACGATTTTTCGTACATTCAGGGGCCATAATTCAGGAAGTTACGATCCGATATGCGCGAATATCGAAAGGAACCAAGATCTTTGGGTTATAAACTTACATTTCAAGTTTCATCAAAATAGAATTAAAACTGTGACCTCTATAGGGTCCACAAGCTAAAGACGTGATTTTTCGTACAATCCGGGGCCATAATCCAAGAAGTTTCGATCCGATACATGCCAATATCGAAAGCAACCAAGACCTTTTGGAGATAAACCAATATTTCAAGTTTCGCCAAAATTGGATAAGAATTGTGACCTGTAGAGTGTCCACAAACAAATTGTGGACGGACGGACATGGGCAATGACAATATACGTCCACATGAAAATGTGGGCGTACAAAAAAACAGTGGTTGCTAGGCAAGATACGCCAACATTTTGCAAGAGATGGATAGAGAACAAGATAAAATAAAAGACGATTTTTCATACAATCGGGGGCCATAATCCAAGAAGTTATAGTCTGAAATGCGTGAATACCGAGATATTTGGGAAATAAAGATATGTTTTAAGTTCCATCAGAATTGGATAAAAATTGTGACTTCTATAGTGTCCACAACCTTGGTATTACATACTTTTACACTTTTTAGGGGCGGCCATTTTGTCCTGCAGTTTTGGTCCGATTTTCACAAAATTCGAACACTACCATCATTAGGGTGAAACGGTGATGTATTCCAATGTTTTTTTATCAAATAAATATTGTGAACTTTTGAGGGACCACAAGCTAAAAACGTGATTTTACATACAATCAAGGGCCATAATTCAGGAAGTTAAAATCTGATAAGTGTGAACCAGGATCTTTGGGTTGTAAACATGTATTTCAGGATTCATCAGAATCGGATAAAAATTGTGACACCTAGAGAGTCCACAACCTTGGTATTACATACTTTCACACTTTTTGCGTACAAGTGGCGGCCATTTTGTCCGACAGTTTTGGTCCGATTTTCACAAAATTCAAACTAAACCATCATTAGGGTGTAATGGTGATATATTCCAACAGTATTTTTAATCAGATAAAAATTGTGACCTCTAGAGGGACCACAAGCTAAAAACGTGATTTTTCGTACAATCGAGGGCCATAATTCACGAAGTTACGATCCGATATGTGTGAATATCGAAAGGAACCAAGATCTTCGGGTTATATTACAAACATGCATTCAAGTTTCATCAAAATCAGATCAAAATTGTGACCTCTAGAGGATCCACAACCTTGATATATCATATACATGTATTTACACTGTTTGCCTACTTGAGGCAGACATTTTGTCTGGCAGTTTTGTCTGATTTGCACGAAATTCGAATTGAGCCACCTTAGGGTGTAACAGTGACATATTCAAATGTTTTTTTAAAATCGGAAAAAAATTGTGACCTCTAGAGGGACCACAAGCTAAAAACGTGATTTTTCATACAATCAAGGGCCATAATTTAGGAAGTTATGATCCGATATGCGGAACATCGAAAAGAACCAAGATCTTCAGGTTATAAATATGCATTTCAAGTTTGATCAAAATAAGAGGAAAATTGTGACCTCTAGAGTGCCCACAAGCTAAAAATGTGATCTTTGTACAATCAGGGGCCATACTCCATGAAGTTTCTACCCGACAGATGCCAATATCGACAGGAACCAAGATCTTTTGGAGATAAACCTATATTTTAAGTTTCGTCAAAATCGGATAAGAATTGTGACCTGTAGAGTGTCCACAAACAAATTGTGGACGGACAGGGGCAACGATCATATACGTCCACATGAAAATGTGGGAGGATAAAAACAGATAATACCGGTACACAGCTTGGCCAATAGAAAGGTTTGACATATAATAACTATCGGTAGGAATCAATATTGATATGCCCTTGCATGCAAATATCCTTCCTCAATCTAGAGTGTTAAGGTATTCCATGCGTTTGAAGATTTTAACACAGAGTGATTACTGAGATATCTTGTCATTTCTACATGGGTCTTGCTGTGACTGGCTGACTCTTTCTCCACTGACAGTTCATGAAGATTAACTAGAACATCTGCCAAACCATAATTAAACTGTTGAAATTAATGCTAATAACAGACAGATATAAAAAATATCTTACGAGATTTCAGATCCTTTCAACAAGTCTTTCCATACTTCGGGTATACCCTCAAAGTTTCCATCCTTAAAGCCCACATGTATATTATGTTTTACATTGATTGGAGAACCAATGGACATACCAGGCAATTCACTGTCCGAGTTTTTATCACTTCGCTTGGTCTTAGTCTTAAAAGGGTTAAACCTACTCATCCTCTCACCTCATCCAATCTGAAAATACATCAACACATAACAAAATCTGAAAACTTATCCAACACTTTCTTGAGCTATCACAGTAAAGCGTTTTTCTTTGTTTTAGCTATAAATGATTTCTACACAGATAGATAACCTTACTGCCACAGAGATTATAAAAAAACAGACAGGTGGCAAACATTGCTTTGCAGGGCCTATACATATTATTATACATTCTATGAAGGTTCTGATTTTTTTGAATAATTATCACACAATCAAAATACTTAAAGCTTGTTTTTTTGGCATGCTCATATTTAAAAAGCTACTATTTTTAGCCAAGAACATGCCTACAGAAATGTATTCGGTAATAATGATCATTACTTGACACCTATATGAACTTATCCTATAAAAAGACACAATGAACATACATGTACTGATCTACTTGGGTTGAGTTAAATAAAGCTATTATACATTCACTCACTGTTACAATATAAAGCTCAGGCATAATACCCACTATAGTGTTTCACTATCTTCATATTAAACAGTAATAACACTGTATTGAGGAAGTTACTTGAACATAAATTATCAATAAATACAGGATATAAAATTCTAAATAGTACATGTACTAACACCCTAGTTGCATCTCTCCAAAGTGAGTGGCAATGAGATAACATCACACAAGTAATAAGGCTACTTGGCCTAAAATTAGGTCATTTATTTATTAATTGTTATACAAACCTGTCAACATGAAAAATCCAAATTCCAATACTAACTGTAAAGGGATTATTTTCATACCAATATAGATAGTTTCTTTTTTGATGTGTACGAGTAGATAAACTTTCCTTGTCTACCCCCACAGGTATTATCCAAAAATATGGGCGGCAACAACAAACATGTATGGCCACATTTCAAAAACCAAAAACTCACATGGAATAAAACTGGTTAACAATAAAATATTATCTTTATATCTTTTATAAAGCATCAAGCAAGCAATTTTGATACATGTATATTATATAGTGAAAAATTACACCAAGATGTAACAGGTACTTATTTGATTTTCATAATTTTTATTCTTTGAAAATGTACAGATCCAAAATTAAAGTAAAAATCAATTTTTGTATTTCTCAAAAACCTACATGTAGTCAAAACAATTTCAAAGAGTCTGTTTGGAACCAAAAAATATAGATCTCCAACACTTACACATGTATATGTTCATTATTGGTATTGTATATGTTCATCAAAGAAGTTAGTTAAAAAAATGGAGAAGAAAGGGTGAAGCCCAAAATGGAATTTACACTTTTTTGAAACTGAAAATCATCACAGGTTGTATATATACTAATGTCAGTGTATGTCAAGTCGTCAGAGGAACACGGATGTGATATTAAGTAGGTAAGATTACCCAGTAATGTAAAAATATAAACAAAAAAAATTTTTTAATCTATTTTTAATTAGACTGCATTTCAACCATCTAAAGGTATTAACATTTTAGCTATAGATAAGGGTGTATTCAGAAGATATATGTAAGCATTCTGTTATGCTTTCAATACTTGTTACTAATTAATCGTTTTAATTTCTAAATTAATATGTTATTGTTATGGAGTTTAATTTCCTATCAACACAATAGGCTGATAGGCGTACTGAATATTTGGATTAACTATATTTCTTCAGCCTAATCACTGTGGATTGATCTACATGTAAGTTTAAAATTTTTGTGAGCTATATCTTTTTGCAATTTGAAGTTAAAAGTTTGGTGGCCTGTATCCTCTAATCTCATGTCAAATGTATTCATCTGTAGATCTTAAATAAACATCAGGCTATCCTTTAATGTTATACATGTAGCGTATTATACTTTTCAAGGTTTCCTTGTTCTGCTACTACATTGTACTTTCTAAATTCTATTACAAACAAGTATTTTTTTTCTCGTTCATTAAAAATTGCAAGCTTTTACGCTAATGATATAAATATTTATATTCAGTATCTGTAGCTGGGAAAACTTTGACCAAGTACATGAAGTTGTTGAATAAATGACATCTGTATAATCTTTCCTATGTGAACTTCCTAGTAAATGATTAATGTTTGTATTATACAATTTTGAAGACCATGGTTATAGTCCTTTAAGATTTTATATTCTAATTATAATATAACTGTTAGAGAATATATCCAAACTACAAGAGCAGATTTTGCTTTTTCTCAAAACAATAAACTTTATATTATTGTTATATATTTTTCTGTTGTGTCTTTTCTATTGTAAATTTAAAAATTTTGACTAACAGGATTGTCCACAGATACACCAGAAACTATTAAAACTCAACAATATAATTTCTAAAATTTTTCCTATAACCATAACCGTATTCAAAATTTTAATTACATACATGTGTATCATACCAATTATGAAATAACTGAATAGACAAAAAATCTAAATATTATTATTAGAAGAATTACTTTAAGATACATGTATTCCTACCGTTAATCTGAAACAAATAAGAAATGAAATGGGTTCAACGTTCTACTTTTGTATTCTGACTGAAAAACCAAAGAAACAAATAAGAGTCAGACAGATGTATGGTGGGTATGACTAACAATAAATATTCAATACTTTATTGATTTTTACTTAGTGAATGACTAAGATACATGTCATCATTACTCAACCTGTATAATAATCGAAAACAAACATTAAACTTTTGCTGAAATGTGTCTTTTGAAAGAGATTTTAAATATCAAGTACATGTACATGTAGTTATGGAAAGTGATTAGAACTGGAATTTTCGGATTTGCAAAAAAAAAACCCAAGTGAATATTATTGGTGGAAAACAATAGTTCTTACTGGAATTTAATGGCCTATATGTACATGAAATAATACATATAAACTTACCTGTGTGTTTGAAATCAACTTGGGTCAAATAAAATCTACTGCACAATTAAATATCCCAACGATTAAAAAAGTTCTCTCTTGAAAAATTGAACTCCCACAAGCTTTTGACAATGGGCAATACCAAAATGGAGCCTGATTACGTCACTCTTTGGGAGAGATCATTTCGTATAAAGGGGTGACAGCACGCCACATTGAAACGGTTTGCGGTACATTACGACAATTCAAGGTATAAGCTATTGGTCTCGGCTGGGTATTGAGTTTGGGCGTTCACACATATAACTGCCCGTATCCATTTATTTTGTTACCATCTTTTTACATTCTAGTAAAATCCCTGTTTATAGATCTTCTTTTGAAATATTTTCTTTTAATAATTTGATTAGTTGGATGGGAAAATTATCTTTTGAACACAAATGTGGCACAAAAATAATGACATTCATTTAACAGGCTTTAAAATTGTACCTATGTTGTTTGTTAAATTATTTATAATATAGAGAAGATATGAAAGTTTTAGTTTATATATGACTTTATCTTTACGAGTATTCGTGCAATCAGTGATATTTTCATTGTGAATAAAATTTGGTAGACTGGCCATCAATGGTTTCAATATATATCTTCTATGTAATTGCCTTCATCGTCGTCCATTCTCAAAAGATCGCAGTTTGTTTTCATTGCAACACGTGGTTGTCAAACTCTCCGTCTAAGTTAAACCATCCCTGCAACAGCCTCATTGGTTTCGCCCAGCATGTGACGAAAGCAGTGTTGTCATGTACTCAGTCGAAAATATAAGTAAACGTGTCAAATTTTTCAAGAGAGAACATTTTTATTCGCTGGGATATTTAATTGTGCAATGGCTTTTATTAACTGTAGTTGATTTCAAACACACAGATAAGTTCATAATATCCAAAGTTACATAGTTTGTTCATAATCAAAGAAATCCGTTTATAAATAGGAAGGTGCAGACAATTGGTATCTTTACATTAGAAGAAAATACCAAGTTTGTAAATTGTAGTCTGTAATTTCTAAAGTTCAGTTAAAACTTAAATTTTACATCAAAAGTGGATTATTGTTGAAGATGTCATAACTTTTATCCAGATCTAGCAAATTAATATCCAAATCAATAAGCAGATGTGAAAATATTTGTAGGTGGGAAGTTGCAACTTAATTAACTAGTAACTAGTATGAATCTATTGGCACTTCCGCAATGCTTACACAGCTCAACACCATAAGGAATAAACAAAGCTTATTTTAAAAGAAATACTTCAGCGCTATAATCCATAATTTAGTTGCATACGGGCGGCGATCCCGCCATTATACATCTATGAGAAATTACTTACCAATAAATAAGACAAAATAAAACAAAACAAAACTTTAAGCAACTTTGGATCGAGTTCAACCGACAGGAAATCATATCCCACAGTTCTTTAAGAACGACTACCTTCCCGATTGTCAAGTCTATTTCTGTCTTGGCACGCAAACGAAATCAACTTTGAAAATAAAATAAATTGTACAGTTTTTGAGAAGGAAATCCAGTAATACCAAATCTGCAAATTACTAGAAAAATAAACAGAATCGATTGATATTGGGTCGACCGACCAATGACGATTCTGTCAAAATATGTATCGACAGAGTAACAGAAAGATTTTTATACCTTGTATGACAAGCCATTAAATTCGACATTTAAATCCCGGGAATATTACCTAATATTACCCATAATCGTCTTCGCACATGATATAACCTAATAATATAATACATTATCTAAACAAAGTATTGCATTATCTAAACAGAGTATTGGCGGATTTTTAAATACAAATTTAAATTGGTTTTCTTTTCTTTTTTTTATTTATGGAGATTTATATTTTATATTTGGTATGGATACAAAATGAGGCTAAATCTATTTGTTAAGGCCAGCTCAATTTTTGTCAAGGTCGCTGAGATGTAAATAAGGTTAGGACACTTGATTGTTGGCGAGATTGTAGGTTAGGATTAGGTAAGCTAGGTCCAGGATTAGGGTTGGGATTAGCGCTAGCCCTGTTTATCAGGGTCACGAGATGTAAACAGGGTTAGGGCACGTGATTGTTGCCGAAGATTGTGGGTTAGAGTAATGGCTAGGTCTAGAGTTAGGGATAGGGTAGCGCTAGCCCTGTTAACATTTGACCATGACAAAATCTGCAAGTGGCCTTAATATTTAGATCTAGCCGGGAATGGTGGGATAGAATGGTTATATAAAAATTCACAGAAAATATATTTATCGTTTGGTTTTTTTTTAAATTATTTATGGGATTCCTTTGTAAAGAGGTGGGGTGGTTATATTAACTAAGGCAATTTGCGAAAGTTAAAACGGTGTGCGTTGATGGTGTGCTTAATAATTGGTTATTTCGTTTTTCAGGATTGAGATCCGAACATTCCTAAAAGTAGAGAAACCTACCTTCTGAGACGGTAGATTAAAGGTTTAGGTAGTTGAATTCTGTTTCTGGGTCCGAAGATAACTATCGGGATTATCCAGAGTTGGTTTGATATAAAAGCAAGATGCGCAGAATGTCTTCTCGCCTGTCATGTGGTCGTGATTTTCACTGTGTTCCTGATATAAATTCAGCCTTGGACACCGCATGCAAATCTGGATTTGACTTCATTTGTCTTCCAATTGTAAACCCACGTTTTAGAAGAGAGTTTATTGTGGGTCCTGCTAAAAAACGTAGTGGGGCCTTAACTAGATCTGACATGTCTCTGTCTAGTCAAGATTGGACATCACTTGTAGTAGGAAAGATCTCCCCATGGCTTCAAGTGGATTCAGAGCATGAATTAATTCGAAAAAATTCTGAAGCCGCATTTAAACAGGAGTTGATGTTTGCAGCACATCTGAGTATGCCATCGGTGTTGCTCACGCTTAAAAATTCCAATATTGTCAACATGGCCAGATGTTTAAACGATCATCTTATATCATCTTATTTTCAACAGCATTTTTGGATCCATGTGCCAATGACCAGTGGAAAGGATCAGTTGGATAAAGTTCTTGACATTGATGTCGAAGTAATTAATGAAGATGGTGGTGAGCCAGAGAGTACATGGGAATGGTGGAACACATTTCGTACTTTATGTGATTCCAACAAGAGGTTAGGTATCGCTTTAGAATTGACAGCTGATTTACCATCAGAGATTGTCTTAGATAGGTGGTTGTCAGAACCAGTGAAAGTGGTACTGATCTCAACAAGCGTTTTTATCACCAATAAGAAAGGTTACCCAGTACTCCCTAAACAACATCAGATGTATTTACGCCAGTTATTCAAGCTAGATATTCAACTGATACTAACAGGCAGTGATCGACATGCGGATAAAGGATTAAGATCTTACCAACAATACTTAGATCATCTGTGGCAGACGCAACCACAGCCAGATCAAGTAGGTCAGTTCGCAAAAGGCTATGAAGATTACCTACAATCACCACTACAACCTCTGATGGATAACTTAGAGTCTCAAACATATGAAATATTTGAACGAGATCCAGTGAAATACTCTCAATATCAGAAGGCAGTGTACTATGCAATATTGGACAAGGTTCCCGAAGCCGAGAAAAACACCAAAAAATTGGTGTTAATGGTAGTTGGTGCTGGGAGAGGGCCACTTGTTAGAGCAGCACTAGCAGCAGCTCAGGAGGCTGACAGAGAAATTACAAAGCTTTACGCTGTTGAGAAAAACCCAAACGCTATAGTCACGTTAGAGAATCTGAAAGATGAAATGTGGGGAGATATGGTCGAAGTTGTATCCATTGATATGAGGCATTGGGAAGCACCGGAAAAGGCAGATATTTTGATAAGTGAGCTATTAGGGTCCTTTGGAGATAATGAACTGTCACCAGAGTGTTTAGATGGTGCTCAAAGGTTTCTAAAAGACGATGGTATAAGTATTCCTTGTAAATACACTTCCTATCTTGCACCATTACAATCATCTAAGCTCCACAATGAAGTCAGAATGGCCAAAGAAAAAGAAAAAATATCAGACAGTTCTTTTGAGATGCCATATGTTGTCAGATTACATAATTGTCATATTTTGTCACAACCCAAACCTGTTTTTACCTTTGTTCATCCAAATCGAGATGAAGTTATAGACAATAATCGTTATCTGAGTTTGGAGTTTGATATTGATATGGGTTGTGTTTTACATGGTTTTGCTGGATATTTCGACACTATCCTCTACAAAAATGTTACCCTAAGCATATTACCATCTACTCATTCACCAGGTATGTTCAGCTGGTTCCCAATACTGTTTCCTATAAAGACACCGATGTACATCAAGGAAGGCAATAAATTGGTTATGGATATTTGGAGAAGATGTACAGACAAGAACGTTTGGTATGAATGGGGAGTTAGAAGCCCATTCCCTATTCCTATCCATAATCCTAAAGGAAGATCTTATACCATTGGACTTTGAGAACATATACATAGGCTAACACTAGTGCTTGAAGATTTCTTAATGATGTTTAAACTGTTGAAGAATAAAATTATATTTTGGTAGAAAAAATAGCCAGAAAGTGCTTAAAGCAACATATAACCACACCTACACAATTTGTACTCAATTATAATCATTTTTGTTTTGAAATATAATTACAGAAAAATAATTTGTAACAGAATTTAAGAAATAATGACAAAATGTAACAATATACATGTATGCCTTTTGATGTTGATCATTTTATTATAAATGCATTTTGTGGTTAAATATCTTGCTAGCAAAGCATTGTTGTTCCTTTGTTTTGTTTTATTTTCATGAATATTGAGTAATAACTTATGAACCTTGAAAATTTACCTGGTGCAAGCCTAGAGATACTGGTACATGTAAGTCACCTGTCACAGACTTAGTTATGCCCCCTTATTTTCGGTAAAATGTCTGACAAGGAAATTTTTAAAATCACATCACTGCCCTGGAGTAATTTCAGGCTTTGTCAGGCACAATCCCTCTGGTGTCTGGCATTTTGTCTGGTACCTTTTGTTATTGATACATTATTTTAAATACATGTTTGGCAGTAAGTTAAAAATGCCACATACCTGTTCAGTAGAGACAAACAAAATCATTGTTTCCAGACCTGGTTACAGTATAGATATCAATGTCTGGAGTGTCAGTTTACTGTACATGTAAATAAAAGTACACTAGCTGTTTAGCCATTGTTTATAAGTAAACATCATAAAACATTGCATTAATAACAGCCAGTGGTTGGGGGGGGGTATTCAAAAACTTTTAATCTTGATTTTGTTGTGTTTCTTTCTATGTAGCAAAAACATGTAATATAACTGAAGCACTGGTAACCAGCAATATTACCAGCTCATTAACCATAACTAACCACACTTGATAGCAGGTTCACTTGGAAACTAATCTAAATAATCAGTACCGCTTCAACTTGTATTTTATACTTTTATCAAAATCTATAATGGTTATGCATCACTGAAACATACATGTACATCAGTAATCTTTTCAGAATTGTATTGTTAATTTCAGTCTATTCAGTATCAAATAGTAATAATATATATACCCCAGAGAAAGTGTTTAGTCTGCATTGTATCTCTGTGCAAGATAACAAATTGGAAACGGACTACCACAGTAAGAATATCAATGGTTAATGAGTTGATAATGCAGTGTAACTTTTTCTTCAGAAATATTGAAAACCTAAGATATTTGAAATATGCAGTTTGAAATTCAAAATTGAATCATTTGTCCCAGCACAGTCAATCTGAATAACTGATCCTGGCAAGTTGATGTCTTCAAGCACACACTTGATATAAAGAAGACACCACTCCAATGTTCTCAGAAGCAGCCCTTAGAACTCATAAAGATGCTTCTACTGCTAGCTAGAGAACCAATTTTAACATCAAAATGGATTCAGAATTGACTTTGGTTCACTGGATAACTGCAACCACCACATGGGGTGCCATTACATACCAACTCTTGCTTCCTGCACCCCCACCCCCTCTGCTGATACTCTCCTACCACCCCATTGCCCGTATCCATGACGTAAGTGGGACGAAAGATCATTGTGTCAGAATTCTGTTCACTTATACAACTTCACTCAACATTCAGTTCTTTTTTTTCTGCTAAAAGAAGCTTCCAGAAAAAGTTTAAAATATATTTTATTCAAAATTATGCATAATTGTAAACAGTTATAGATATTTAAAAAAAAAGTTTTGACCAAAAACATGTACATATACAGGTTGTAGTCACATAAACATCTTTAAATCTATGATGTACAGGTCATATTACACATTAGATATTTGCACTTGCAAAAAATAAATTGAAAAAAAAAGCATTAACAAATTGTGGCAAAATTGAAATAAAAACAAATGGTATAAACTGCACATAAATTCTTGACAATTGGTTTACTGCTGGTCATAAAAAGATTAAACAAATTTCACTTTTTTTCTCAGTATAAAGGAGATATAAGTAAGATGTACATTACATGTACATACCAGTGACACAACCTGGTCCTGACAAGCTAGCATGTGAAACAAGGTGCTACACTGCAGACCAAATAAAACCCCACCACACAGAAGTAATTTAAATGTAGGTCTGTCTATAGCAAGAAATAAATTTCAGATAAATATAGACTGGGTTCATTGTCCTACTTTTCTGCACCAGTTGATTGAAGAAGGGCATACGCCATTCAGTGTGCTAAGAGGGAAATTTACCCTTATTTTGAATTCCAACTGTGGAGGGTTTTTTTTACATGCTCACCAATGTCACCTTGGCTTTTTATCCCCTCCAAATGACTAGACACTGTCCTTGCCTGCACAACTGAAAAAGGGAAACCACCTTAGAAAATCATGAGGATCTTTTGCAACAAACACTAATAGCGAACCCAAGACCTGGTTGGCATATAGTGCCTTACTGAGCCATCTGGACTCCCTCTCTTTTTAAAAGGTGCCACTCTGAACACAGGTGGATGTCTTTCTAACCCTGATTTTGACCACAGATACCGACATAAGAAATAAGTTGGCTCGTCAAAGACATTTTCTGGTGCTTTTAGTATGTTAATTTTACCCAAATTTTTAAAACTATATCCCATCCTTGGAATAGGAGCAAAGTTTTTACACAAGCTATGTTACTGGCATGTACAAAACCATTAATTTAGAGGCTCATGACCATGGTCGCAGTTTTTTTCATATGTTTTATATTAAATGTATTTATGTGTATAAATTGTTGTAACGTTCAAATATTGTTCCTTTTTATCAACATGTGTACTGATATGCTTGTGTAATAAATATAAATAATATACGTTATTTGATTATTGTTATAAAAAAATATATAAATATATATTGAAATCTATAAAATAATATATATCCCAATCACCACAATAAATAAATTTCTGTGTAATCATTCCTCATATTTGCCCTTAAGATAAATTAAAATTAATTTAATAGAACTTTTCCAATGTTCTGAAGTACTTTAGATTTCTATATGTGGTTGAATTGCAATGGTAATTATAACAACAAATCATTCAAGATATAAAATGTTTGAACATACTTCAATATTATTTGGATTGATATCAAAAGATATGACAAATTTTTAATATAGATTTCCTTATTAAAAGATAATCTAATCACATTATGAACAATAACCATAAGCATTATCATTGTGCAGGTTATTGGAATTGTTAAAGAGGCAGAGGTTTAACAAGAAAATAAATGTAATTAATTTCATATAAATTGCAATATCATTTTCAAAATAACACTACAACTGGTTGACTTAGATCAAAGCACTTTTCACTACTGGCTAGAATAAGTATGACTAGCTTGTATGTCTTGAATGTTCAAAGTATGAGCTTCAAACATTCATATTTCATTGATGGACTAGCATTTCTGTCTAAAATTTTACATGCAATCCAGTTTGATCAACCCAAACATAAAATATGGTCAAATTGTTGCCGAGGGAAAAAAAATAATTTTGTTTTTCCTCTTTAAACTGAATAGAATTTCAACATACCACAACTTAAAACATGTAACATAACATATCATAAATGTTTAACCAATTAGACATAGGTAATTCTGAGCAAACTAAATTAAATCAACAAATTAAAGTGTAAAAGAAAAACAGTCTGAGCAAATTCAAGATGTAACAAATTATAAAAGATTTTCAAACACTAAATGATATAACTTAAGCCTCCATTTTTAATTCAAAACATATCTATAGGTTCCATAATACTTCACAGCAAAAGCAAACTTTAATCTTCTTGGTAGACAAATTCAAAATATTAAATGTTTACATTACTCAATAGATCTGATTTAAATAAAACTCAAAAAGTTTTTAAGTCAAAAATATTCTACTGGAACAAGTAAATTTTTAAACCAAAGCAAAAAGAAATACTGCATTAACTAGCAAAAATAGAATTTAGCACTTGATATAATCTGATTGAAGATGGAGGCTAGTTCATGAAGCATTGTTTATACACTTTATCAAAATAAACTCAAACAATTACAAAAATATACTATTTTACACAACAAGTCTGGGAATTTTGCGTGCAGGAATGACAAGCAATAATGGACTTTTGAAGAAGCATCAGTAGCTTTACATGTGAGTTAGGTCACCCTAAAAAAAACATTTTATTTGCAGTAATCCTAAGCAAGAATTTTAATGCAAGATGGAAAAATGTGTTGAGTTATACATTCTAACACTAAACAGTTTCCTGAAAATTTACAATTTTCACTTATACAGTAAAACGTGTATCAATAAAGATGACATTCAAAACATACGCCCACAGAAGCTAAGTTATCCAATCAGTCCATAAAGAAGGTTGAAGCATATTTGTTCTTTTATAAACTGATCAAGAGTAACAACCCATAAAGTAATTATCAGACATAAGTATAATTTGATTGGCTATAGGTCTTCTTAGTGCTAAGATTTATAATACAAAAATTATACCAGTGATCAGATGATAGCTTTAGTTGTTTGAATTATCAGAAATCTTCTCAGACCATAAACACTGTGTATAAATTTCAGCTGATAAATTTAGCCTCTAGACAGTAGTCACCAGAAATCATTACAAATAAATAGGCTTTTTGATAACTTTAGAATGTGGAGTGCAAATATACTGTCTAATTTCAATGTGGGTGTATAAAAACCAAAATATAGGTAATATTTTGGAAGGATCAGTCATGTAAACAGTACTATAAATATAAAATTTTTATAGGGTGGCCTCATGATCATATTTCTGTTACATAAGGAAATGTACATTTATACAGTTGATGAAAAGTGATACCATATTAGAATGTGTCTTATGCCACAGAATAAAAGAACTAAAGCAAATATATACATTTTTCTACGGAATTAATATACATAACAATTATAATGCATAGAAAATTTCATTTTACACATAATAGTAACTAAGCAATATCAATTTTTGGCAAAGGTTAATAAAAATCTTAAGGTAAGTTAATAAAATATTTAAAAAAACAATAACAGAAATATCTTACAGAAAAGATCTTATTGAGGATCTAAAATCAATAATCAATCAAGCTGATCAATTTCCAAAAACAATATTATCAAAATAGAGTAAAAAATGACAATAATGAATTGCCTGTATTCTATAATTTTCGTTAACTACATGTATAAGGAGATATCAATTAACGTACATGTATCAGGTCATTTGTCAACAAAAATAAATTTTGTTTCACTTCCATAATACACTGTATAATAAAAACATAAAGTATTGAATTCCAACTTCTATATTCATTACTGACGACATTTCTACTTAGTTCTTATGAAATCATCATGAAATATTTTATATATCTGGATGAAGTCAAAAGAACTTGTCAAATTACCATTATAAATAAATGTGCTTTCGGTGTGTTTTATTATAGCCTAATCAGCTACTAATATATCGTCAAAAGATTTGTGTTCTATGGCTAACAGGTCTGTAGTGTTCTGAGTTCTAACTATTAAACATTTTCTTTATTGATGCCTAACCCCAAGACATTGGATTATTAAATGAGCATCAAAGTGTTCTTCCTCATATCTCAAAGATATTTTTATCCATACATGTATATGCAATAGTACATTATCTAGTACATTATATTTGATGCCAGCTCTTTTATACTTAATGATAAATATTGATCTAGACAACAGTCCTTTATAAATATATTATGTCCATGTAGCTCTGAAAAGTAGTGCAGACTAGTCACAACTGTGTTAATCACCATCCTGCTCTAAATAGTTTGCGTCCATTTAGGCTTTAAAAACTTCAAAAATATTTTTTTTAGAGAGGGGGGGTGGGGGAATTCAAGAAAAATATATGCATCAATAGGCCCTCAGTTACAGAAGTTTTGAAATCATGATAACCGAGTTATATGGACTTAATATAGGTTGGAGAGGAGATAGATAATATACAGTATTATTATATAATCAACCATCTGACATTTTACCTTCTCATTGTTAAAACATGGAATTGGTGTTCTTTTACTGTTAAATTATAATAAAATATACAGATAATAGAAAACAAGGTCAGCATTCATGGTTTACATTGTAAGCACAATCAACTTCACAACAGTATGCTGATTTAAACTATCTAATTACACTGCATTAACAATTTGGTTTAAGAAATGTGCAATAAAAATGTGTTTTAAGTTTGATTAAAAAATATAAAACATATAACAAGGTTGTTATAACATTACAGATGGTGGATCTCATCTTTGATAATATTTAAATAAATGTATAATTCAATATATTTCACACAACTAATATGATCCTTGTGTATAATTAAGGCATCTCATATCACTTTTGATAATAATATAACATAGTCTAACTGTTTTCTTAAATAATCATACAATAATGTCTCTTTCAGTCCATAATGCTGACTCACTTGTCAAATTTGAACACACAATGGTTGGCCATGTTCTACAAATATATCAGACCAAAAGCATACATATCTACCCTATCACAATAAGCTCTTGAGTTAAAACACATATCTATCTATTATCCACCACATCCTCCACAACTAGCTCCGCCTCCCCCATCACCACCTCCACTCCCACCCCCATCACCACCTCCACTCCCACCCCCTGAATCGCTAAAGCCACCTCCACCACCCCCTACAATGTATCCACCATCTCCCCCACTGTATCCCCCATCTCCTCCACTGTATCCCCCATCTCCCCCATCTCCCCCACTGTATCCCCCATCCCCACCACTAAAATCGCCATCATTCCCGCCAAACCCATCCCCAGAGTATCTACTACTCCCAGTATAATCCCCAAAATCATCGACACGAGTGTTGAAAGCCCCATCCCCATTGTCAGCATTACTGAAACCCCCATGGTCATAATTGTCATTTGATGTTCCTGCAATAGCATCCACTTCCGTCGAATGACCAAAATGATCAACATTGGTACTTTCAGTATAATCCTCTCCAATATCGTAATCCGCATAGTTTCCTGTTTCAGTTTCTGCCCCATAACCCCAAGTTTCATAATCATCTTCTGCATAGTTAGTACTAAGATCACCAGAATCACCAAACATTCCACCAACAGGATCATCAATATTAGCACCAAATCCATCCTCAATATCATTATGATCATTATCACCAAAAACTTGACCACCATAACCTAAATCATCTGTATCCGCAAAATTTATATCATCTTCCCCTGCTTCTGGATCATCACCAAAACTTGCTCCATACCCATAATCTTCTGAAGCAGTTCCTAAAACATTATCAAATTCAGCAGCTTCATTCTCTTCCACATCTTCATCAGCATCAACTCCATAACCAAGATCCACATCATTATCCTCTACAGGATCATCATCCACATGATCAAAGTCATTAGTACCTTCTTCAGGTTGCTCCTCTTCAAAGTCATCCCCAGCAGCTTCATCTGGTAAAGCAGCTTCTATTTCGTCAATATTCTCTTCATCATCATCCTCATCTTCTTCCTGACCTAGAATGATGCTATCATCATGATCGTGAGCTGATGCATGATAATCAACCTCAACCATATCCTCATGCACTTCATTGGACACACTTTCATCATCAGAATCATCACTGCTTATACTTGGTTCTTTTTTACCAAAAACATTATCCACCTCAACTGCAGCATTCAAGATACCCAAATCTTCGATGTCATTGTTTTGGCCAAACATTGTAGGATTATTTGAGGTACTGGCTCCCCACATTCCAGACTGTGATGTATCAGGAACCCAAACTCTTGGTTCTTCTTCTTTTGTAGCTCCATGGAGACTACGATTTTCTTTGGCTTTACGGATGAAATGACCACAAGGTGTAGCAATTAAAAAACCAGCAGCAACAATAAGTGTTAACTGTTCAGATGGTACTTGAAATCTTCTACCTGGGAACTGTTTCTCCTCACTTTTCATGGGTTGACCTGGTTCCCAGGCTTCCGGTCGTGGTTGACATAAAACATGAAGTAATGAAACACAAAAAGCTAAGGCTAAGTTCTCTGCAACCTGTAAAATATAAATGAAAACATGAAACACTTCATTATTTAACACTTCACATTGTAAGGTCTACATCTGAATCTGACCTCCTTAAAATTGTTTCGTGCTATAGCATCAGTTTGGATTTCAAATTTAAATCTCAATACATTGGCTTTATCTATGGACGTAAATTCTGAACAAAGACAGAACTATCATGTCACAAAATAAACTAAGACATAAAATCCAGATAATAGAGGGAGTGCTGTTTAAAAAAATTGCCTTGTACAGCCGCTGATGTTCTTACTCACCTCATTTCTCTTGGTATCTATTTCTATCATTCCCTGATCTAATTCAACAATAGAAGAGTCAATCTTGAATTTAAAATTACCAGAAGTATAGGCATCTTGTAAAGACATTTCATGCCATCGTTTATTATTAATCTTGTAGAAACTAATGTCTAAATAACCAGGACTCGGTGGAATACCTCTTCTACCAGGACTAGTTTTAGTAGCTTCAAAATAATAAAATATCAATTAATAACAATAAAAAGCTCAGTAATTGTCCACATGACCCAATAACAATTCTGAAAATAAACACACTTTACTTGGGGCTTGGTATATACTATCTGTCATTTTATTAAAGGGAGGTAATTGGGTTTTAGTATGCTATATATATACCGTCAGAAAACAATGTTTTACTATATCAACAGCTCAACCAGGGGCGGATTGGGCGATCGCCCGAAGAGCCGGTCAGACAAAAAAATGAAAAAAATAATTTTGTCCAAATTGTCTAAAAAAACATTTTCTGCTGAACATTATATGGGGGAGGGGGAGGGAATATTGGATGATGATCATGTTGTATGTGGCCGGTGGCTTTAACGGGCTGCCACGCCATCACTGGAGTCTGGAATGGGCTGGTATAATAGACTTTCTGGGCCGGGTGTGCTGGGTGTGGGCTGGAATTCGGAATCCTGCAATGGGGATTCCGAATTTCATCGGATTCACCCGACACTGTCGCCCGCAAATTTACTAATTATTAAGTCACCTGCACCCTGTTTGTGGGGATACGCCAGAAATGTCTGCCGATGGTTCGTAATTCCAATATTTGGCAGAGATTATAATCAGATACAGTATGCCACCAAATCGCATATTTGGGGTTCATTTTTCAAAATTTTCCCTGGGGGAGAGCCTCCGGACCCCCCATCCAGGCTCCGCAGTCAGTAAAAGGGGCCGCTCTGACACGAGAGCCTGGGCCGGTTCCCAGCCCCAATCCGCCTCTGGGCTCAACTCAATAATTAGCAAAATTAATTGGTTAAGCCCTGTGTAATATGAACCTATATGAGAAATAGAAGTAGTCTGTATCAGTCTTAAATGGATCACACTAAAGGGAATGTAATTATAGCTAATTCAACCTTTTAATAAAGCAATCCAAAGACAAATTTGTCAGTTGCATTTAGTAACTGTACTGGATATATAAAGGACACAATTCTATGGAATAAAATTATGATTTATTATTGAGTGACATTTGGAATCTTTAGTCTTCATAAAGTAGTAATAAAGAATTATTGTATTTCATAGAATTGTACCTTGTGAAAATCCAATGACATCATAAAATTTATTTTATATAATAACATACGTCTTATTGGCTTAACTCCTTTCCTCACACCTGCCCAACGACCAATCACAACACCCCAATCACCACTATGGTTTTTAATGAGCAGAGCTCGTTCTCCAATCTTTGGATTAAGTGTTATACATTTCTCAGCATTATCAACCTAAAATAAACAAAAAAACATGATATAATACATTTATTTTGAACTCGTTTTAACAAAGAAAACTGTAAAACGTCATGTACCAGACACACCCATGTTCCTGAAGCAAGTTTTACAACATTGATAAGATGTACAGAGTTAAAGCATGATCAAGCCTTCTATTGAAGACCAGCCCACTCATGATTACCAATGCTTGTGAAGGTGAAGAATCTACAAGAAATACACCAAAAAGGTTTAACAGACTCAGTGCTACATACAACTATATATGGCCAAGTCAATATTATCTGGTCTCTTCTTAAGTTCACCTTATCTTCAATCTTTCAAATAATAGGCATAGGTGTTAATTTTCCTTTGAAATTGTATCTACTGGTACATGTACATTATGTCTATTAGCATTGAGACTATAATAGGTTTACATGGACTTAATGTATTTTTTTACAATTTGATCAAATATTTTCTTCGGCTTTAGAATCTTTAGTCAAGAACATCATCATTTTCTTTCAAATTTAATCTTCTAAAGTTATCTACCAGGCAAATGTACAGATTAAGACTCAAGAGATATTCATGTGTTTGGGTTTTACCTATAGCCTTGAAAAACAGTTTCACGAAAATCTGTTTTTCTTTTAAATAAATAAGAATTGCTGAAATATAAGTCTTTTGAAAATTTGGAAGGTTGCCTGCTGTAACACAGTGAAATTATCAAGGCATGTAACATTCTATCTTAAAACCAGCCACGATCCATCAATTGTCAGATTATATGTATCTTTTAACATGCATAGATTGAAATACCTGACCTGAGATGCCATTTTTTCTTATCATATTATCTACTACTATATCTTTGGCAAGTGATTAATTCATACTATATACATGTACTGTATACAGGGATAAAAGCTTTTAAAATTCAGAAAACCAGAATTCTTATCTGGAATGACATGAAATCTACATCAATTAGTAGATTTGTTGCATTAATTAGAAGACAAATATAGATAGGTAGTTATGTAACTTGTCTGCAGAGGATGCTGTATACCTGGATTGCCAAAATTTTCAATTCATCGTTTCTTTATAAATACATGTACTTAAAGATGGGTTCCCGCGTACAAACTGGGTGATTTAATGGTACATGTATATATGGACTAAAAACATATTCAAACTAATTAATTTGTCATAATTATGCTTCAAATCCTTCTCAAACATTGTAATTGCGAAGGAATGCCCTGCTATTAAAATTCGATCAAACCAGGTCATGTTTACGTCACGACTTGGAAGTCAGAGGAGAATTCATTGCATACATAAGACGATGTTGTCTTTAATCGCTTACTATTTATTACAAATATCGAATCCTAATTAAATTCTCGGATAATCCACTACCCGCGTCTTTTTCCATCATTTTTATCTCAGATTTATCTCAGAAAGTGTTGTACGTCTAACTCTTCATAGCGTTTATCAACTTGTACATCAAGCACTCAATGTTCGCGTGTGACCTTTGACATCACGCGTGCAGAAATTCTTAATCGTCGGACTGTTGATTAGGGGAACCCTTACATTTTTGTCCTGTATACGCTCCATGAGTGTTTTTCGGGGAATCCAGTATTTTTCTAGTAAGATTGGGTATCTCTACTTTCCATATATACCAAAATTGCCATACTTTTATTGGAAATAACCACCCGATAAATACTTTTCTGGGAACCCATCTTTAATAGAACTGAACCATTATTGGACTGATATTAGAGATTGAACTTTCAACCTCCACATTCCCTCCAATTAATACAAGGATACAAAGAGATTAAAGGATACACTTAGATTAGTATAGTTACAAGTAGCTTATAAACTAGAGGAGTGGACACAATTAGTAGACCCATGTAAATAAAATTAGAGGATACATGTAAATTAATTAATGAAGAATTAATGTGAAATGTGAAATGCTAGGGAGGAGAATTTTGCCTGGTCAGTGACATTTCTACCTACTTTTCATCAAATTTTAACTGTCAAGCGTTCTTTTACATGGATAAAAAACAATGTCCTCTCTGACTGACAAGGCAATTTGAATAGATTACTTCTCAGCCCAGCAGGTTCCATTCTTATGAGACTGGCCTCCTGCTACTACAGTCAATCAATTTACAGAAAACTATAACGTTACCAACAAATCTCGAAATGTATCCTCCTCCATTCGTTCTGTTCAAAAGGAATTCCTAACATGGCTTCTAGCAGATAAAAATCCTTGAATAGATTAGCCATGGTGATTGCCGAATATGTTGTGCACCGTCTGACGTCATTGTTGCTAATGACGTTTTTGTCTTGATGTAAAAAGGCATGGAATACATCCACGAGTCAAATCTTAAATTCCAAACTCAAATTCAAATTCTGCATCCCAATTACTTAAAACATGTAGATTAGAAGATACTGGTACATGCAGATTACGAGACCAGACAATTACAATGTATTCTTATTAAACAATGTGCTTACCATTTGTGGTAAAGGCAGTTGATCAGATGCTATAAGATGTGCAACAGCAGACATCTTGTCACGATAGAATACATGGACAGCAGACATGAGTAGAGGAAGACTGTGTATTATACGACAAGTGTATGCTGTTTCTCCGGCATGATTTAATAATCTATAAAATAAAGAACATACACATCTGTATCATATATAAACAGAATTAGAAACATCAGCTTGCTCTCCTCTATACTACCAACAGAAAATAAAATGTAGGAAAAGCAGCTACATGTATATACACATACCATTAGAAATAAATTCAGCTCTGCACTTAAGATTACTGTTACAACAAAAGAAAAGAGAGGTTGCCAGGCAACGAAACACACGCCCACAGCAGCTAAGTCGTCCGAGCAGTCAACAAGAGTTGTCGCATATTTTTTCTATTGTCGGTAATGAAACATTTACAATACACAAAAATCTGATTAAAAGTAACAACTCATTCAGTAATTATCCGAAAAGTATTAGAAATTATTTGGCTTTTAGTTCTTTCTGCCCCATGCTAACGTTTAGTCTCCGAAACATTTAATATCATGGATTTAGCTGTTCAAGTCATCAAAATTCATTGAAAATCAATATACTGTTCGTCTCAAGACGTATGATAACTTTGGTCTCTCGAGCATCCACAAGATATTTCAAAGTGATCAAGGGCCATAACTCTGGCAGTAATTATCGGATATTGTTGAAAATCAATAGGCTTCTTCGTCTCATGACCTTAAATACTGTGTATAAATCTAAAGTCAATCGGATAATAACTTTAGCCTCTAGAGCGTCCACAAGATATTTCAAAGTGATCAAGGACCATAACTCTGGCAGTAATTATCAGATATCGTTGAAAATCAATAGGTTATTCATGTAACTAGGCGGTGTAAGTACTATGACGTAAAGCTACATGTATATTATACTAGTACCTGTGTGAGGCTACAGAACAATTGTTATCCATCCCTGGAGGAAGACGACGTAAAGGAATTGGTCCCCATAACTGTTCAATATTCTCTGGCATGATACAATTCTGATATCTACCACAATCCAATCTTAATGTACACGGACCGGGATCAGGTGTCGTTAAACTGACCTTTACCTTAGCACTAATTTCTGTCCCTAACGATACTTCACTAGCATTTGATATTGGCCCTCGTTCAGCAGCTTGAATGACCTTTAATAAGCTCCAGCGACCTTCCTCACATGGTTCATGTGCAGAGAAACAAAACATGCCCTCTTGTCTCGAAAGTTCGAAATGTATGTGGTTGTTATATTTGGTATCAAAACTAAAATTCTTCATCAACCGTTGTTCAGATTCCAGTTTATCATATGATCCTTTCATTCTCGCTATAACATCACTAACATATAAGGACTTGTTGAAGTTTTGATAACCAGTTTTATACCATATTTTTAACTTATAGTTCTTGGTATCATACGGAAGACCGGACATTTCAACAGATTCCAACAACACTTTAGACTTTTTTGTGGAAACTTTGTAGGTATCATCAACCGACGGTTTATATAGTTTACCTTGAGGTGACATACCTCGAAACATAGAACCAAATAGTGAAAACTTTTCTCCAAAAATTTTCTTCCACAGATTCCTTGTGGCGTATTCAGCACGACTAAGTCGAGATCCTGCGGCTCTGTCATTGACAGAATCATCATGATTAAACAACTGACCAATAAAACACTCTGTATCAAACTGATAAATGACAGGATGAAGTTGATGTGTGTGCCATATAAGGTCAATATCATAACATGGCACTATGAACATTCCAGGATAACATTTTTTTAGATATAGGAATTTTTTGTAACGTAGAACACTGTGAGTAATGAATTTCAAATCTCTATAATGGGGGAGTGACACTTGATAATAAAATTCTTTCTGTCTTAAACTAGCTGCAATAATATCATAACTTATTTTAGAATAATAAATCTCGGGTATATCAATCACAGATTCTTGCGATATCACAAACTTTTCTTGTGTATATTCCTCTTCCCACAAAGCACGAGTATCTTCTAGATTTTCAGCACGACTATTTTTATTTGTCAACTGATGATCAAGGACTTTTCCCACGATATTCATACAATCCTTTGCATAAGATGCTGGACAAAGCATGTGACAATGCCAAACCCATTCTATGTCAATTGGAGCCGCGAGATTCAAACCTTCATTAAATTTGGCATAAAAGGGAAGCCACAAACATTCATATCTATATATGGCATTACGTATCACAGAGTCACTTTGTAAATATGGTGTCTTATTAACTTCAGCGAGAAACTCTAAATGATGTATGGCAGCACTGACTAAATCAATGCTAAAATCAAAATTGTCAGGATCAAAAGCAACCGGAGAATCATACAATGCTTCAGCCATGTTGATTAGAATTTATGTAAACATATTTTTTGAAGACAGTCAAAGAAGAGCGAAAAAAAAACCATTCAATTGATCATGAATGTTAGTTGAGCAGTAGCAAACAACAACATAAACTTAACATAAGTATGGTTTTTGCAGACATCAATAGGATCAAATATTGTAAGCAGCTTTCTAAGGATTCTAAACTTCTCAAAGGCAATGTTTTTCCTAGGGTTAGCCTTATACTTATATCTTGTTATTGTTAGGGCCTTAATAATGACAATAAGTACATCTATTCTACAATTTTGGAACAATAGAAACTTGACCTTTTGTCTAATCTTGTAGGTAATGAGATCTAGATATTTATAAATTATTTTTTTATTATCTTCAATATCATCTTATTTTTGGTTGCTGTTTATCCTTTGAATTTCCTTCTTACACTACGATACTTTATGTCTATCCATTCTTTGATGTTTAGTGACACATGCCACGAAAACCTGAAAGCATAAAAGTAAAGACATGATCAAATAAGATGACTCAATCATCAACATCTCATGCCATCACAAATATTTTGAAAGGTACAGGGATAGACAATCTCTGTTTGTTTTATTAGTAATCAACAGTCAGATACTAGTAGTGAATATAATTATAATGTACTTAGCAAATAAATAATTCAAAGAAACTTAAATTTTCTATATAGCCAACAGCACAACTACTATTATTAATAGGTTGATGCATAATAACCATAAAGATACACATGTATCTTTAAACCAAAATTTTCTAATTGGCAAAAGACATAAATACTATAAAAGATGTGCATAAAGTCTTAAAAAATATCTCGAGTGTCTTTTTTTAGATACACGTGTATCCTGGAAACAAAATCCAGATAAACGGATTAATGGGTCCATTTTCAGTATCCCTCATGATAACTTCATTCAAATTCATGTTAAACAGTTAAACACCATTTTATTCATCCATTCATGAAGATTGTGAGGTCTGTAAATATAAATATTGGTTTCAATTGATGAGCTAAATTATAATAGACCCAAAAGTAATCAAGATACTCAGGGACCTTAATCGCCCCAGAGGTTACAATGATGTGTGCATTGAAGATTTCGCATAGAGAGAATTTACATAAATTTTCCAAAGTAAGGTGCTTCTGCCCAATATCCTTTGAAAAGAAAACCTGACTAGGCAACACCAAGTCAACATATCTATCAATTTTGGTAGTACTGATAATTAATTTGGTGGGTTATAGAAGAAAGTCGAAAATATCTAAATCTGCCCCTTCAAATAATTTTATTTTTACAAGTTTTCAAAGCATTATTAATAAAGTGTTTGAGGAGAAGAAGAAGTCAAAAATGCCTAAATTTGACCAATCAAGAAGCCAAGTCTGAATAACCACCCCTGGGCAACATATCTTTAAATGTTTGTTCTTGTAAGCCCCTAAGTTGGTTAAGAAAAGATGTCGAAAATATCTAAATTTTGCCCCTCCAACAATATAACTTTATTTGGGTTAAGCAACTTTATTTGAACAAAACTGAACAAACATCACTCAATCAACATACCTACAAACTATAGTTCAAATCAAACATGCAATTCACGAGACATTGAAAATAAATCAATTTGCCCAATCAAACTGTCCCTACCCCACCCCCATCAAAATTGAACAATCTGAATAACTTCAAACTTAGCAACATGTATATGATTCATATCAAAATCCTTTTTAAGGAGTGCTTTCAGAGAAGAAGTCAAATATGTTCTAATTTGTCCTCTGTGGTGCCCCTGTCTGACCCTGCTAAAATGACGTCAAGAACTTTCATTTGCACAAACTTGTATCATTAATCTTGTAATCTTAGTATGATTCCTAAAAAATGTCAATGGAATCCGATCAACCATTCCGAAGAAGAATTTTCAAGATAACCTAAATTTGCTTTCTTAAAATACCTGGCAAAGCACCTACTGGGAAAAACAACTTCATTTAAACATGAATTATATAAGATTTAGATAAAGAGTTGGTCGTTCTTGCTACAATACTAAAAATATTTCCAAAATAGACACTGCAAAATGAATATATTGAAACTTTCATTCAAATAACTTTATTCTGAGCGAAGTTATCACTCATTTGAAGTTTTGACAAGATGTGTGCATTGATTGTTTATTATCATAGCAACAGTACTTCAGTCCTTCATTTTTATAAAATTGTGTGGGAGCCATAAATATCTCCAGATACCTTGAATATATGCAGTTTAAAAGTAAACAAAGATAGGTTGCCAGGCAACGAAACATACGCCCACAACAGCTAAATCGTCCGGGCAGTCAACAAGAGTTGTTGCATATTTTTACTTTTTTCGGTAATGAAACATTTATAATACACTAAAATCTGATTAAGAGCAACAACTCATGAAGTAATTATCAGAAAACCATTAGAATTTGTTTGTTTGTATAAAGTTCTGCCCCATGCTAACGTTTTTTATACAAAACTTTTAATATCATGGATTTAGCTGTTCAAGACATAAAAATCCATTGAAAATCAATATACTTGTTCGTCTCAAGATCTTAAACTCTGTATATCAATCTGAAGTCAATCGGATGATAACTTTAGCCTTTAGAGCGTCACAAAGTGATCAAGGGCCATAACTTTGGAAGTAATTATCGGAAATCATTGAAAATCAATAGGATTCTTTGTCTCATGACCTTAAACACTGTGTATAAATTTAAAGTCAATCAGATATTAACTCTGGCCTTTAGAGCGTCCACAAGCTTTTTTGAAGTGATCAAGGGCCATAACTCTAGCAGTAATTATCGGAAATCACTAAAAATCAATAGGCTTCTTCGTCTCATGACCTAAAACACTGTATAAATTTTAGGTCAATCGGATATTAACGGACGCGACGACAATATATGACCATATTCCAATGTGGGCGTATAAAAACTGAAAGTAGTTTATTAATCTCAATATTTAGGAGAGCGATTTCTAATTTGCAGGAGTCTTTAATGACTCCTTCGAAGGAAAGCCGACGTGCGTCGAGAGGAGTAGGAGCAAAAGCTCCCCTTAAACGTGAAGGCCTGGTACTTGTTCATCAAGACTCAGCCTCAATTCACCATTTTCTAAGTAAATCATTAAATGACGATCATGTTTTAATCCGTTTAAACTTTTAATCTCTGCCATCCAATGGTCTATATAGAGTTGATTATTGGCTTGTCATGTGAATAAATGTCTAAATAATATATATATATATCATTTGAGGCTAAAATAAAGACCTGCAATAGGCAAATTTAGCTCTTAAACAAAACATCTTTAAACAAATCTGATTAAAAAACCACCCTGGCAACGTGCAAATCCATAAAGCGTTTTAGAACAAAACTAAAATGATTTATTGTTTATTTAGGACAAACGACAGACCGGAGTGTTGACGGTATTAAATTTGTTTTTAAAATTTCAAACACATGAGATTTTTCAGTCACACCTGCATGTATTCTTTTCAGTACCACTACAATAAAAATATTTCCATTGTATGTGTAAACAATATAAGAAAACCCACAGATAATGTAGAAAAATCATAAATTTTTTAATTATCATTACTGTATTTGTTTTCTACTTATGGCTATGACATTAACATAAAAGGCTATCCGGATGGCTTATGTGTACTTTATACCCTGATAGCTTGTGTGTACTGTAATTCAATAGTCATACTATTAATGAAGATTGCACAAATATTTCTATTGTCATTATTAAACAAAAACCATCTAAAGTTGCATTCTTAGGTTGGGCCACAGATTCATTTACTTGATTTTGATTTGATATTTGTTATTTATTGCTTGCCATGTTTGTGTACATGTACGTATTACAGTCCTCCTGCACTTAATTTTAACTTAACAGTAAAATCTATCCTTAATAAACATTAAAGTCTATTTCTTCCATTTAATATTCCATCTAATAAAGAAATGAAATGGCGTTCAACGTTCTTCTCTGACTGGGCTAATGAAGATGGGAATATGCCACACAGTGTGCTACGAGGGAAATTCTGTCTGGAGAGGGGCGCTACGGCCTACTCTTGTATATCGAATTACAACTGTCAAGGATTCTTTTACGTGCATGCCATTGTGTACATAACCACACAGGACTTCAGTTTTACATCACATCCGAACGACTATTTAGGGTTGTTGTTTCTATTTGCCAGGAATCGAGCCAACTTCTTATTCACTGAGTCACCATGGCTCCCATTTAATAAAGATAGACTCCCATGAGCCATGAGCATAACTATGCCATCTACCCCCCCCCCCTCACAAATTTTTATCATCTAAAAGTATATCTATAATTACTAAGAAAAAAGAATTGTAGCATCAAAATGCACAATAAACCAGTATCAAGTATCATACACTTTGTATGTCAGAGCGTGAAGTTGACCTTTGTTGAAGATTGAATGCGCATTTGTTAAAATTCACATCCCTTACATTGTCTCACAATTAGATTTAGAGTGATGTGTCATTAATAATGGCTCATGTGTCAAGGGTTTGTCTTTATGGCAGTATATTAGACTCAAAATTCTAACATGCTATCATCTAATTTCTAACTTCTATTCATGTAATTTCTAAATTAAGACAATGTATAATCCAACTTCTTTTTTTGTTCAATGTAAATTTTAATTCTGTTTCATCTTATTTCTATTAGGGGATCACGTGGCTAAGTGGGTAAGACGCTAGCTCGCTAGCCTGGAGGTCGGGTGTTCGATCCCTGCATTGGCCGAGAAAGTTCATCCAGATTTTCCGGCGTGGTTCTCCCTTGTCAGTGATGCAGGACGGAGGGGCTGACAAGGAAAGCTGTCTAGTCGTTCGGATGGGACGAAAAACCGAGGTCCCGTGTACACATTGGCGTGCACGTAAAAGATCCCTTGGCAGTTGGAATTCGATATAAGAGTAGGCCGTAGTGCCGCTGTCCGGGCAAAATTTCCCTCATAGCACACTGTATGGCGTATGCCCGTCTTCATTAGCCCAGGTTAGGAGCAGAACAGTAGGACGTTAAACTCCATTTCATTTCATTTCATTTATTTCTATTATTAAGACGAAAAATGTCTACTTTGTTGTCGCTTTACATGTTAGGCATAAAAGTCAAACAAATTTAGGATTTTGATACGTCTACTTAGCAACTATTATTATGACATCGTTTGGTGTTGCCACCGTGTGATCGGGACCATTATGTTGATACCAACGACTCGCTCTTCGTCAGGTTGAATGGTTTGGCGGAGTGTTGAAATTGAAAACAACATCGAACGTGACACTGTTTGCGAATTGAAATACTATTTCAATCATAAGCTAAACTGCAAATGTTGGTTAGCTTGTATTTGAAATAGTATTTGCCAACCATATCACATTCGATATTGTTTTCAATTTCAGCATCGATTCCCCGGTTCGGCGGTTGTACGTGACAAGGAGTAGTGTGACATGTCCAACCTCGTTGGTTTTCTCAGGGTCCTACTGTTTCCTCCCAATGCTAGACCCCTCCTTGTAAGCGAATTATTGAAATAAAATTGAACTGGTTATATGTATATGTTAGTAACGAAAATGGCCTAGTTTGTGTCAAGTGGATTATACATTGTCTTAATTTAGAAATTACACGAATAGAAGTTAGAAATTACACGAATAGAAGTTAGAAATTAGAAGATAGCATGTTAGAATTTTTAGTCTAATATACTGCCATATGTCTTGAGATATTTTTTAATCTATAATGTTTTTCGTAACAAACATATCTGTCCAATCAATTTAGAAACTTGGCTGTCAAAGATGATCTATAATCATTTCAAATTGTATTGTGGTCTTGAGGAAGACCAACATGTATATTGAATATAGATTTTCTTTACATCCCTGCTTACTACAACTGATAGAATGAATGATACATAATATTGAAAATAATAAAGAAATATAAATTGTACAACTATATGTTTAATATCAATGTGTAAGAATATATGTTGAACATGCAATGCACCAATGAAATTGAAAACCAATGCTGAATGAATAAAATGAAATTTAGATTTCATCATGCTGAAAATCATATTAGAACTGAAATGATGTCATACTGTCAAACAATATCGTGGACATTATTGATTTATAAGCTTAAATCAAAACTTCTCACTTTAATTTTCTGAACTCGGACAGAGTAAATTATAATTAAATTTGAATGCATCATCATTGTAACAACTGACTCGCTCAGTAAGCTTACCACAAACAGTTAGATCTAGTGACTTAAATTCATGTAAGTAAAGTGCAATAAAAATCAACATGAGGGGAAATATTCAGTGCTAGATACTTTGATTATCAAATGATTATTAATCTTTCAGGCATTTATACTTATAATGGTATTCATAAAAAAACAGAATTATAAATTGTATCTTTTAATTATGTTTAAAGCAACAAATTAGAAATTGATCAAATTATTCAGGTAGTGTGCCCTATCATAAAAAAATATCTCCAAACATTTATAATTATTCCACAATATTCATAATAAGAAGCGTTACCATAGTTTCCCCATGACAACCGGACAGCATATACATGGTGGGCTAAAAAAAATGTTACAGTACCAATTCTGTTTGTACACTACTTTCTTAAATGTGATTACTTTAAATGGACAATAACACTCTTGCTGGCTTGACAGCTCCAGAAAATAAAAAAAAATAGCCTTATTCTAAGTACTAGATGTGTTAGTGTCCTACCTGTTGTGTAAATTTCCATTAAATCCCATTTTACTTGTCCAAAGGGTTCAAAAATATTTTTAAATCCAAGTCACATTTGAAAAGCTTTACGTCAGGCTTTTCAAATTTTTTAAATTAGGTGTGTTAAGATGAAATTTGTATCATCAATTAATTGGAATATTGTAAAATAGTACAATTTGTTGACCAGAATAAAGATTAGGACATATTATTCAGTTACAACAAGAGTATTATTGAGTCTTTAATAAATGTCACAGAAGCAAGAAGTTTTTGTTGAAGACCCATGCACCCTTTTATTTTTAACAACAATCTAAATATTACTGTAATTTGGGCAATGAGGATATACATGTATGTTCCAGAATGTTTTATTTTTTATAGTAAAATTCGATGGCAATGGATTTTTAACAATGAAAAATCATTACTAAAGTAGACCTACTGTAGGTAGTCTACAGAGTTTAAACAAAGAGGGTAGGACTGTCATTTGTTTACTATCATGTCATGTGATGACTGCAATTATCTGAAATGTGATGTGTACTGTAAACAATCTAATATGTTAACAAAATTGATATTCACTACAAACAAATGATAAACACACATATACCGTAATATTTAGATCTAACATTTGTCTCAATTCGTACATGTATACTAAAGAGAACACAATTTTTATGGCAAACAGTCACTGGTTTAATTCTAAAAGCACGACGATTCAACGAGTATCCTCTTATTGATAATGATAAGAGAATACTTGTCGAAACGTCATGCTTTGGAATAAAACCAGTGATTGTTAATGAATGTGTTTCCCAATCGCTAAGTAAATGCCACTTAAAAGATTATGTATATTATATAAATAAATAATACTACCAATCCTTTATTTGCTGACGATCAAGCCACTATTGATCAACCAGACGAAGTTATATCCTGGAAGAGGTATTACTCACAGGCGGAACAAGGGCAAAGTATAAACTGACAAACTGCATGACTCTTTATTTTAAGTGTCTGAGACTGAGTCTTTTGATGAATTGATTGACACTAGCCTAGGCGGTGCAGCTTATTCTTCTATGGTACTGTATTTCTGATTAATGGTACCTTCCTATGATTAAGAGTTAAACAACGATAATTACCTGAACATTCTTGGCGTGCTAAACGATTAACTGCCGAAAAAATACGACAGATAAGATCTTCTAATTTCATTTTTGTACTGTCGGAATGTTTTCTAAGGGAAATAACACCACGCGGAAAAACAAACAAATCTAGAGTTACCTTTCCTTGAATACTGGATAGTCTTGATTATCAAAATAGAAGAATAGTTAAATGCACACTTTCGAAGCTAAAAAAAAGGGACATTATAAATAAATAAATAAATGTCTAATCCAATGTACTTGCTTTTGTTGTTGTTATTGTTGCTGGGCTTTTTTTTGGAGGGGGGTGGGGGTGGTATAGCTTTTTTAAATAAATAAATAAATGTCCAATTTGACCACTGTCTAATCCCTTAATTGCGCTTGCATTTGTATTTGTTAGATCTCTACTGCTACTGTTGCGGTTTTTTTGGGGGGTGGGGGGTTTTGGGGGGGGGGGGGTATCGTTTTTTTAAGTGTGTGTTTTGTTCTGTAGCGTACCCGTAGATTTTGTTGATTTGTTTTGCTTGTTTTCTTTTGTTAGATTTTATTATTATTTCTGTGGGTCGCGCCTCATAGCGCATTACGTATCTCGATCTGCCTCATATATATGCCGGTCGAAATTGATGCCTGATCTTGATCTTCTGTTTTATGTGGCCAGTCACCATATACAGCCAAGATTTAAAGGAGACCGATAAAGATACCAACTATATAAATGTATGTGAGAAACCCCACGAGGTTGGGTAGGCGACCCTACCGTTTGTTAAGCACAGACCTGAGATCGAAACCACACTACCTGACTCATTGACAGACCTTATGAATTAAAGTGTACACTTTTGACACCTCACTCACCATACCATATAAATATAACATTTCTTCCACAACGGTAACAATTTGTGTTTTATATATAATCAGAAAGATTAAAATGAAAGGCAACTATAACATAATATTTTGCCAAAGATGGACTGACGTATGCCTAATCTTTGAAGGGCATTTATAGTGGTTAAACATAATATAACACAACACAGTTCTGTTCGACTGATGTGTCTCGCTACAGGTATAGACGATTTGCGTGTGTGATTATTTACATGTAAGTATCTAGCCTACTATTTAAATTGTTTAAGCGGCATTTAGTAACTGGGTGGGAATAACACATGACACAATTATATGGAATACAAGTTACTTAATAGAATTATTTATAGCGGTGTTTCGACCAGGGGTCTCCCACCTTTATTAAGCTTGGTAAAACCGCGAGATTCCGCGTCGAAACATCGCTAGAAATAAATCCTTCAAGTAGGCCTAACATGTATTGGATATAATTGTGTCATGTGTTGTCTATTACATGTATTTACTTTACAGTTCTATACAGCAGTCAGAAGGATAGTAAGTTTCAGTTATTATGTTCTTTTCTTTTAAGAAAGGATTCAGAAAACTGAAAATAAACCAGAATCTTTTGGTTCTGACACAGCCCTGGTTGCCTATGGGCATGTCTGGTAGGCCTATATAGAAAATTGACGACGAAACAGCTAGGACTGTATAAGAGGTAAACAAAAAATGTAGACCAGCAGTTTATTTACCTGTACCTGTTGTGTTGCATCCATACACCTTAATTGCCAAACCGTCCACTCTGGGGCAAAAATTATCTGGTAATAAACATATCAATGTCAAACTCTTATTTCAAGGATGGGGAAGAGAGAAGTGATGGATGTTGTTTAACGAACGCCCCAAGACGTCACACTGCGAACCAAAAGGGTACGGTGTAGGGGTGGGGGGTCAATTGGTCGTTATCTGTGTAAGTCGTGAGTTTCGTCCCGCGATTGTAAGTAAAATTGGGTGGTAGCAAGATTAACTTTCAGTTTTGTAACCTATGTAACCCTGTGGATTTTCTTAAGGGTATCGACCCCCCCCCCCCCATCGCTAGAACTTAAGTGTCCCCCTGCTCAGCTACATAATTTTTTTTGTAAATCAACACTTTTTATGAGAAAGGTTTCTTTATCCTTTATCGTCAGATTTGGGACAGGATGGGCACTCAAAGCACGAGATAATGATATAGACATTATGTGATATCACAATTAATGCTTTGCATCCATGAAATTGAATCACAATGTCATTGTATTAATTCATAATAAAAATTGACGTCAAACGAGGTGTTGGATTTCTCTGTTTAAAAAGCTCAATGTGTATGTAAATACGCCAAAATGACGATAGAGACCATGCGGGAGGGTGGGGGGGGAGATACATTGTCTCAGGAACATGACCCCCCCCCCCTGCAAAAATTCCTGGATCCGCCCCTGGTGTCGTCCTTGGCTTTGGGGCTCTTTGTCAATTTAATTTGTCTTCCGATAATTAAAACAATATTATATCGTATCAATATAAAGGCGATCCCGGTGATGGCCGAGAACGTTCCCCGTGGTTTCCCCTTGTCAGTAGAGCAGGACGGACATCATGACAAGGAAAATAGTCTAACCGTTTAGGGTGCACATGGGACGAAAAAAACGAGGTCCCGTGTATACTTTGGTTTGCGCGTAAAAAAACCATTGGCAGTTGGGATCCAATTGCTTTCCGGGCAAACTTTCCTCCAGCACATCGTCTTCATTTGGAGAAGAAAAGTGGACGTAAAACATTTATTCAGTCAGTCATTCAATATCAGAAAAAACATTTTTTATATAGATATCGGTACTTTTATTACATGCATATTATAACATTATTATCACAAGGACAGCATAAACCAGCTTATATGTATATATATAATAATAATAACACATGTAAAATATATATAAATAACCAGTATATAATAATAAACAATATACATTGTGGTAGGTCCATCTATATTGGAAAGAACGTACGCCCCTAAAAGTAACGAAATGGAGACCGGCAACTTAATCTAGTAAGAAGTGGGTACGAGCAATTCGGGCACGAAGTTGGTGGGGGTGGGTATCATCACACATAGTAAGTGCCATGGAATAAAGGTAAAAACTAAAGCTTAATATATATAACCACGTGCCCAACGCTAGTCTGGGGTGGGGTGGGTGAGAGGCATGCAGCGGCTTTTAACACGATATCTATTCAAAGTTGACGTAAATGTCAAGAATGTTACTCGTCTATAACATTTCAGTTCATATTTGTGTTTTATTTAATGAAAAGATTTTTCGATAAACACAGAGATGCAGCTGGACCCCCCACCCTCAATATTTGATATCTGCCCTAGAAGGACGAGTATCTAATTTTGATAACCCCAATATTTCTGATAATCCTTGCATGGGTTTTTACGAATGATTTTGAATCTGTACTCCTATATCTAGTATATATTTCCAAATAAACGTACATGCACACATATTTCTATGTCTTTATCAACGCATTTTACTCTCTTTATGGATCCTAATAAAGAGCGTGTAAACAGTCTCCAGCACGCCCAAGAACATCTGTGGATTTTAAAAGTTTATTTCTTTACTGTTTACGTGAGGGGTTTTAAAATAACATAATAGCCGGAACAATAAAATATGAGCATGAAATATATATTTCTACTATAATAATCATTTTACTTAAATACGCACAAAAATGTTGCCGTAGGCATTTCCCGTGGCAATTAAGTAATGATACATACTAGTAATAAAAATCCCATCTTATCTGAATAAATACCCAAACTGATAGCCGATCTTCTATTTTACCTTGTATACAAAACAAAACATTAATTTATACCCAGTTCACACGAAATCTACATAGTTTGGTGTTATACAAATATTAATCACATAAAAGTTTAACAATTCGGGTAAAACAGTTGGCAACATTTGATACTTCTTTTATAAATACCGTGCTTATGGTTTCAAAGACTTTATACATTGGATAAATATTTAACACTTAAGGCATTTCAGTATTTTAAAACAACAATAACAATATAATACAAATAAATAAATAATTAATTAGGTATTGTTTGTCACGTGATCATATTAGGCCAATGATTAGCTAACGAATATTGGCAAGGTATACAGCTTGAGATACGAAATAATAAACCAAGAAAAGAACTCCAACTACATTAGAGTTATACATAATATGTATAGGCTTGAAGTGGAAACACTTCCTTTCCCTGACAACTGGGTGTAATCCATCCGGAAGCTCCGTATTTTTGTAATTACTCGCTTTTCGTTTTCTCGATTTGAACGAAACTCTATCTAATCTTCAAGATAGTTGTTGTGCATTGCCGGATTGGTTCAATTTATCGTATTTGTATTTTGGTGGAATCTGTGGGGGTTCAATTTTTTTTTCTACAGTCTCTGACAACTGGGTGTATCACACCCATCTATTAATAGACATTACATTGAACAAAAGTAGTAAGTAAGTGGTTTTTTTTACAAACAGATGGTAGAGGCAATTTAATTTCAGATAAAAGATTAGATAGAGTTTCGTTCAAATCCAAAAAACGAAAAGCGAGTAATTACAAAAATACGGTGCTCCCGGGTGGATTACATCCAGTTGTCAGGGATAAGGGTTAACAAAGATCCAAGATGGCGGCTCAAACTTGCATTTGAAATTTCATGTATTTAGCCAAATCACTCACATTGTGCGCTAAAAATAGTTCCCAGTAAATCATCAAATCTGCTGTTTTGTCAGGGATCAAGTATAAAATATTATTCCTATATAATTAGTATACGAACGGGTGTGTTACACCCAGTTGTCAGGGATCAGGTATGAAATATATTGCAAGGGAAAGGGTTAAGGGTCTTGTATCACAATTATCCATGTCACTATTCTCTCTTTACACTAACTTACATTAATTGAATATAGTTCTCAGGGAGATTCACATTGTGATTGTTGTATGTTGAAAGTATGAAGAATCTTGCAAAGTGTCATTCCCAATTACATTATAATCATACATGTAGGATATACAACTCAATAATAATTAGTGTCTGGAATAATAAGTAAGATAAACCTATACGTAAAGCCGAACATTAAACGCGATTTTAGATATATTATCAATTCAAAGATCGAATTAATTTAACCCCCACATCCGCCACAACCCCCGCACCCTCCACAGCCACCACAGCCACCACACCCCCCACAACCTCCACACCCGCCACATCCACCACATCCTCCACAAGCCGCATCCATTCCAAGCCCATCCGCCCCTTCTCCACCCACATCTAGAACACCCGTTAAATCTCCAATACCCTCAACATCCGCTTCTATACCATTTACATCCACGTCGCCCCCTACACAGCCACTGCAAGCATTCATTCCATGTGTATTGTGAATATAGTAATTTGAAGGGGTAGCCTCAAGATGACCCGCCGCCATTATTAGCGCCAGGTCTTCAGATGGTATGTAATTAATGGCCTTTTGACCGTTTCTGCCGTTGCTTGGTTTTGTTGGTTGGCCAGGACTCCATCGAGCTGGTCGAGGGGAACAAAGAACATGTAGTAAAGCTAAGGAAAAAGCTAACGCCAGATTTTCCGCTACCTCATTTTGTTCTGCGTTGACGTGAATAGCACCCGCTCGCATGTTTACTGTAACATCATATAAGGAGAAACTAAAAATGTTTTGAAGATACGGAAGAGACAAAAGTTCTGTTTTTCCAGTAGAGAGTTTTGTAAAGGAAACTTTAAGGTAGCCTGGACAACCTGGTTTTCCTCGTCTAGCTAGATGATGTTTTGTACCTGAAACATAACACAAAATATTTGGATTTTAAATTTCCAACCCAACAGGGCATTTGTTTAGGAATTCGAAGCACTGTGTAAAGGGAGATTCGGTGCGGTTGTCTCCCCCGAGCGCGAGACAAATGTTGCATTTTAGTGGAATTTTGGGGATGTAAACGCACTGTGCTTTGCGTTACAAGTTTGATGTTTACCGAAAAATGCTACTTTCCATCTCTTCAATTGTATCCAAAGCTCGTGATTTTCACTTGGCATCTTCGGTATTGTCCCATCGCTTCTTTATTTCATTACAAAGCAGTGGGAAAATCTCTTTCAGCTGTCTGGTATTTGCCCCGATACTTGCTTACTAAAAATGCCCCGTAACCCAATGTTTAAGTCTTTAAATCAACATAGGTTTCCATGCGATGAAATATGTGGGCGTAAATGAATTTCTTTCTATCTGTTTAGTGAAATTACTTTGGAGACTATTCGCGAAAACATTTAATACTTCATTTGGTTTCTAGGGATTGAATTGTGGTTATTTATAGCATCCTGAACAGTATGACATTAACCGCATTCCATTTCCATATATAGCATCCGTTAACATTGCTAAATATCCCTCAACATGTTTTCTGGGGAGATAATATTATATTAATATGTGTAAGAAAAGAAAAACCTACCAGGAATGCCAGCTACACCACGTTTATAGCCATCCCATTTACCAACCAATATTCCCCAATCACCACTATGATTCTTAATCAAAATTGCCCTTTCACCCTTCCTTGGGTTAAGAGTAACACACTTTTCTTGATTATGTACCTAAAATAGTGAATATTAATTTAATTTGATAAGAAGAATTAAATAATCCGTTAGAAGAACACATACATTCACACTTTGCATATAAATGTTCGCTACGTAAAACAAAATGTGTAAAACGAATAAATCATTTGGAATTAGCCAGCATCTCAGGCCAGTGATAATTACCACAAAGAATAAAACAATTACAGATTGGTACTACTACATGTACTACTACTATGGTTTTACGTCGTGATATCACCTTCAACTGTTCCAAAAAAAGAAAACTGACCAGTTCGAAAACTAGCTGGAGGTGATCAGACGTAAGAGGATCGAACGAGCATTAAAAAAAATTGTCCATCACACTACCAAAATTCACTACACAGAACTTTCCTGGAAATTACTTATCACTGCTTACCTGAGACGGCAGCGGAAGCTGATCAGAGCCAATAAGATGGGCGACAGCAGCCATCTTGTCTTGGTAAAAGACGTGAACAGCAGACATAAGAATCTTTGGACAATGAATGACCCTACATGTAAATACCAAACGCCCAGTATGATTTAATAAACTGGAAGAGAAAATAATCATCAGTAAGTATTTTTTTAAGAACAAAATATGAAAAAAATACCGGGTGTTCCAGATAGGTCTGTAATTTCAAACATAAAACCCGTGCTAATTTTACCGTACAGATTTCACTCACGGGGTCAGATCGATAATTTAACATACCACTGTGTCGCCTGCCTCTTAAACTAATATAGGCTAATTGAAATATGAAAAAGCATACTCACGAGTGACTAGCAACGCTACAGTGGGTTTCTGTGGTATCCTGTATCTGTGGTAGTGGTATTGGGCCCCATAGTCTGTCAGCTTGAAGTGGCATATTACAAATGTCGAATCGACCACTCTGCAGAAATAGTAGACATGCTCCAATATTTGGTGATTCTATGAATCCCTGCAAGTGTATTCTAATCTTCCCATGAATTTCTGACGTCTGTTCAAAACACTCACTAACTTTTGATCCATGTTCCCCAGCCCCTTCTAACACAGGCAAGAAATCGTAAGCGGTGTCCAATATAATGTCCTTTTTGCTACCAAAACAAAATACCCCATCATTTTCCTGCAGACAGATCTTGAGTAAGTTGAACTTTTTGGTGTCAAACTCGAATTTGGGCAAACTCTTCCTATTCCACTCCCGCTCTGTTCCCTTAAGATTAACAAGAATTGGTCCTTTCGATAAATTCGTAGCGTAGTGAATTTGTAGTTTTGTTTTTCCAACTGTGTTATCCAATCCTTCAATCACAATCTTTTCCAGATCAATAAAAGCTATTTTCGTCGAGAATGCATATGTGTCACCGTGGTGGATGCGATGTAGTTTATGAATAGGAGGATCACCTCTGAACATGGCCCCAAAATTGGAAAAGCTCTCTTTAAACTCTTCATACCAAATCTTCCTGGTAGCCATATCAGCTCTGTTGAGTCGAGAACCTAGCTTTCGGTCGTTGACGGCATCATCATGGTTGAACAGTTTCCCTAGTAACTTGGTCGTGTCGATATTATAGATAAAAGGGTGAATTTGGTGTGTGTGCCAGATGAGATCAATGTCGTAACAAGGTACTAGGTAGGCATCTGGATTTACCTTCTTCAAAAATAAATACTTCTTATACCGCAATAAACTATTCTCTAAATACATCACGTCTTTAAAATGGGACAAACTTACTTGGTAGTAGAAGGATTTTTGTCTAGAAACAGCAGCAACTATGTCATAAGAGAGCGAAGACTCAAAAATATAATCTTTTGAAACAGTGTCATGACTAAGTGTAAGCTCAAACGTTTCATCTGGGTGCAGAATGGAGTATTTCTGGTTCCATAAATGCTTTGAATTTTCCAAAGCTCGAGATCTCTTTTTGGCATCCAGCAGTTTATGATCTATCACTTTACCAACCAATTCAGTGCAGTCTTTGCGATAGTTTTCAGGAGATAACATATGGCAGTGCCAAACCCATTCTATGTCTAAGGGAGCAGCTAAAGTATGATTGCAGTTCTCGGAAGCTAATGGAAGCCAGAATTTCTCATATCGGTAAACAGCTTTCTTGACAAGCGGACCATCTTGTAGACAAGAATAGCGACTGACCTCTTCTAGAAAATGTAAATGGTCCCACGATGAGCTGATTAAATCCAAACCAAATTTGATGAGATCCGGATTGAATGAATCTCTGGCCCCCATCTCTACACCGATCTGAAAAAAAAGAACGTTCATTTAAGTTTCCCTATTCCCCACTGCTTATGTTATGCACGGACCTCAATACCTCAAATATTTTGATACCACCCTAATAAATACTTCAAATAAAATAATACGTTTGCAAATTTACCTTTTTTAATTCAACATGCATTATGCAAGAGCAAAATCTGCTTATTACAAGTCTTTCTTTAGGCCTGAAATGTTATCTAAATTATCAATTAGACATTAATTAACTTATCCAGACCATAATAAACTCTCGATGTCAAGGCTAGCCTTCGATGTAGGCTGGATTTGATTCCTATATGCCGCTAACGGCCAAAGATAATTAAATCAGAAAAAGCGGATAATCGAGACTATGCTGTTTATATTAATGATCTTAGTAATGATAACCGAGACTATGCAAAAATTTCACCGGCTTCTTTCTCGGCTCATAGTGGATCAATTTTCAGCAAATTACCTTTACACTATCTAGTTTTTAACTATTATAGCGAGAACTGCCATCTCTTTATCTTATCTCCCATAATGTATCTTTAATATAAATATAAATCAACCTCAAGAGCGAAGTGAACGTCTACAGTTTGCCCAACAACAACAGAACTTGTGACACAGGCAAGTGAGAACTGTTCTGTTTACAGACGAGAGACGGTATTTCGTATCAACTGCAGATGGCAGGACCTGAATATGGCGTCGACGTGGCCAGCGTTATTCTGACCAATGTGTCATGGAACGAGACTTATGGGGAGGTCCAAGCATAATGGTTTGGGGTGGGGTGAACCAGAGAGTGGGTCCCGTGGTGTTTCAAAATCTTGGTCCAGGGAGAGGAGGCGGCATCATAGAAGTGCGCTACATCGACCAAGCTCTCAGACCCCACGTCATATCACATTTCGCACGTCATCGTAACAACGTTTTCCAGCATGACAACGTTCGTGCCCACACCGCCAGTTACTCGGGACTTTCTACAGCAGAGCAGTGTCAACGTCCGGACTTACATCCGATTGAACATCTTTGGGATGAAATTCACAGGAGACTTAATAACGTCGTACCGAGACCAAACACAGCTGATGGATTGCGCCAGGCTTTTCTGAGAGTGTGGTTCCAGGTGCCAATGGCGTTCCAGGTGTCAATCGTCTGGTCCACTCCATATACAGACGCTGCGCTCCTGTTATTGACACTTGTGGTGGATACACCAGATACTGATGTATAGACTGTGTACAGACTCTAAACCTTCTCGTAATGTCTTGGAATTGTGATGAATTAATCACTAATGTGCCAACATACTGTTCACAAAAAATTGTTTTGATCCATTTAGTAAGTCGTTTTTTTAGAATGATTTGATTAAAGTGCCTCTCTGAATTTGTAATCGTACTGACTTCGACAACAATTTTCGGTTTCAACACGCTTTCATTTCAGAAAGTTTATACCCCTTTACCATAGAATCACATCATTTACAGATTTGCAAGGTCCCACCTCCCTAAATTTGGCACCTAGATCAACCGACATGCAGGCAGACAGATAGGACATATATGAAAATTCCGAGAAAAACTCATCAAAAATAATGACTAAATTCCAGTCTTTATCACAGTTAAGATCAGATCAAATATACACCTTCGTGATCTAGGATACACATAAGATTCACAAAAACGCTATGGCACAACATTTCAGCGTCTAGAAGAAGCAAGAAAGACGACGATGTTATCCGGACCTTTTCCGTATGAAAGTTGTTCGATATGTGCTGCCGTATCCGTGTGCCGTATCACGTATGAAAAAGACACAAACGTTGATGACGTCACACGCAAAATCGATACGGATACACCATAAGGACCAGGAATTTACACTTGCCAAACATCTCTATAATAAATGCGTTTAACCCGTATGTTTGTATTCTTTAGTAATGTTTTTTCCGTAACAAACCATTTCTACCCCCATGCATGTGTATATAATAATATGCTCTTATATTTTTACATTTATTAAGTAAAGGCTATACTGGTTGTACTTTCTAAACCTGCCTATATTAGTGAGTTCAAATGTAATATAAATTATCATGTTAGACATTTATTTGACTGCCAAAGTCGAAATCAACTTTCTAGTACATCGGCTGGCTTAGATATTGACAGGATTAGGCAATACCCGCCACATCTGCTTAAATCGATAATATGGCCAAACACTGCTGATAAAAGGACTGACAATTGAGACTTCGTTTATTCTTATGGCACTGGTACATCACAATCGCAAATATGAAATGTGGGCGGAGTTTCCATCTGTCAATTATACCTATTTCTTGTCAAAGCTTCAAATATTCATAACTTTACTCAGAATAAAGTACTTTGAATTATTGCAGGCAACTCTGTAGTAGGAAAATTTATAATGTTTGTCCCCACATGTCGAATAAAACTGTTAAAAAAGACACTTTAAAGCATTTTAGCCTAACATAATGATTACATTTTAAGTGGCCCGTTTTGGTGTTCATTTTAATTCAAGAAGCATCCGGAAATGTCAAGAAAATATTATCTATATAGCATAACAACTCTGTACTAAAATGCATGGGGAATACTTCCAATTGTGACGTCACAAAGGATGGTGTCATGCAATAAAAAAACAAAAACAACGTTAGTTGGATTGCTTGGAGGTAAGGTTTATTTGCTCTATTATTACTATTATTCTAGAAATGTACTATATATCTGTTATATTTGTGAAATATAAAACTTTAAAAGCTTCTTTAACTGGATAGTGGCAACCCTCCAACAATTATGTTTGTGGAAACACATTCAGATGTAGCCTATCACTCCATTGTACAAAATAATTAAATGTAACATATCTATAATGCAAACGCATTATATTTTTCAACAGATATACACCACAAGCATTAGATTTTTAAAATGCGGCACAGGTCAGAGACGCAGGACGACGGTTCCGGATTACCAAGTGTTTTTATTTCCAGTTCACCCGACAGTTCTCCGGAACCTCTTTCCAGTCCATCGTCAGATCGAAGAGTCAAGGGAGCATCTAAATCAAAATCTGGTTATCAAGGATCTCTGAATTTTCCTGGCTTTGGTAAGCCACCGTTTCCTCGCGGTAAAGAAATGTCTAGACGTCAGTCACATCGTCTAGATAACAAACTTCCTATGATAGAAAATCGTGTAAATGGAATAACACAGAACTCCGTGGGCCTGCAAGAAATATCTAAGAAAGCCAAAAAATTTAAGAAGAAGGCTAAGAAGTTAAAACAGGCCAGTAGATCAGGTAGGAAGTTGACTATTCAAGAAAAAATATAACAAGATTTCATAAAGGTGGTTAAAGGTGTCCCAATTGATTCAAGTCAGTTTGGTTTGTTTTGTTTTTATGATACTCCTAGTAATGATATTGTACCAAGGGCAGATCACAGACCATCAATAGGGGAGGACGAGAGGTGAAGCCACGCGCTGAGAGCACCGAAGGGCGATGCGCTCGGCAATGGGTGGGGGGGGGGGGCGATGCGCTCGGCAATGGGTGGGGGGGGGCGAGACGCCTCCCCCGGTAACTTTCGAAAAGTAGAAGTCTGAAAATGACATTTCCAATGATCTGAGACAAGAATCCGGTTCTAAAATAATGCATTATATTTCGGTCAGAAATCCAGACGGGGGGGGGGGGGGTCATACTGCACTGGGTCACCAACCAGGAGGTTCCTGGATCAATATCGGTGTTGGCTGAGAAAGTTCTTTGGGATTCTTCAGCCTGGTTTCCTGGGGGGGGGGGGGGCGCCTAGTCGTTTGGATGGGGCAAAGGAAGCATAACTGGGGCATGGAATGTTAATTTGAATCAAACATTTGTGAACGTTTCAACAGCGCAGAAAAAGAGTATTCCAGAGTATCAATTTGATGTAAAAAAAATAATTGTGGATCTTATTTTACATTCTTTCACAGAATCAAACATGATGGGTGATGAGTATGGTGGAAATGCAAAGGAAATAGAAAAATTCTACAATCGCCATGCCGATCGCATTGAGGAGTAAGTGTTTTCTTTACCCTAGTCCTGTCCAACTATCAGCAACATGGTCCAGACTAAACATCGTGTCAACCATGTCAAGTTCCGGTCTGAAGCAAATCAAATATCGAGTTTAGCTGGGTAACCGTTTTGCGATAGCTAGTGAAAACAAAAAGCCACATGACTCATTAAATAGCTCTTTAAATGAAAATTGTTAACCGCACACTGGCTCCAACAAACGGAGAAATGTATCATTTTACTTAAAATATATGACTGCGTTTTTATAAGCTGGCGCATTACCTCGGTTTGCGTAGAAAGGTAGGACGTTAAATTCCATATTATATTACTGGGCGTAAAGAGAGTTCCCAATAAAATTTACTGAGTTTCTACAATCCACCCAGGATTTAGTATTTAATTAAGCTTGCCAAAGTATGATAATCACGATATATAAGGTCACACATTACAAGTAAACAAAACACAATTGCACAGCCGCGTTGAGAAATTTTGGCAGACATTTCCGAACGTAATCGATACTTGAGCTGAAACTCCCAGGCAATGAAGTTTGTGTAATTAATCCCACATGTGATTCTAAAAGAAAAATATCCTTATAACAATATATGTAAACAAACATTATCGTATGTTATTCTTCGTATAGACAATAGATCGAAATTACTAAATTTACTGAGTCATGAAATAATTATAGTTTAGAGAAATTTTTAAAAAAAATATTCATTTTTATTTTTGTCTTGTTTTATAGTTTTATCGATAGTTTGGTAACACCATGTGAAAACTGTAGAAAAGATATTTGCCTGCCTGTGAAAAAGATAGAATTGTTGGAAGATGAATACAATTATTGGATTGCTAGAGCTAAGAAATGGCACTTAAGGCACGACCTCCTGGAAAGTGAGATGGAATTGTTAAGCATCCAGTTAGATGAAGCAATTTCTGAAAGATGCATTTGTAATAATAAACATCCATCTCCAACCCCACAAATAAAACATAAAAGGTCCAGTCAAAAATCCGGGAGAAAAAATAAG